TCCGCATACCTAAATTTGCTCCATGATGCATTGAAAAACAGTGGAAAATGGAACGTTTAACTTAAAAATTAAGAGGGTTACGAGGGATGATCGTCTCTTTTTGCCCAAAGCCCGATGTGAGACACCCTCTCGGCAATCTGAAGACACCATTCGAAACTTTTTATGATGCGTTTAAATATGCGAAGACGGTCATCATTCTTCAGTATAAAGCCTTCATCTGGACGGCGCACAGTGGCTCGAGTCAGTTAGAGAGGTCGGTCTGTTAGACATGAAATTTTTGACTAAAACTGCAAATTTTGATGTTTATTTCGTCACATTTTAAAATTTAAGGGTTGCTGATAGAAGAAAATTCCACGAGGAAACCAATAGAACCACTTTTAGAACCTCAAAGTTTTGTATAAACAGAGTTATAGGCGCTTGAGGTTTCCAAATTTCGTCCGACTTTTCCTATTGACTCGGTCAACTGTGCGCCCTTGAATCCTGTTCAGAGATTTTGAATCCCCCACGCATCATAACATGGAACTTCCCATGAAGCTTTCTTTTTTCATCTCGCCTTATCTCCCCTTCTTTCAAATTATATACCTATAGTGCATAGAGGAAAAAAAGGAGGTGTTTGCATCTTGAGACCCTGCGACGTAGGTCGATACAACCTGGCCAGCGAAATCCGGAATTCGAAGTATGAAAAACGGACCATTATGTCCGATTTTTTTGCTTAAATCAACTCATGATATAATTTCAAGCACTTTTTGTAGGGTGAATTTTTTCCATAAATTAAACCATTTCCAATTAGAAAATCGATGATAAACTCGTTGTAGGTATCGACCTACGTCATCCAAGATGCCCGAAATGCAAACACCTCTTTTTTTTCTCTATGTCTATAGTGATCGAACCTCCGGCAAGCTTACAAAGAAATGGATGAAAACATTTAATTCTTCGACCGATAAAACTAATCCCACTAGAAATGACGGTACGAGATGAAAACTGAAATCTCGATTTGCGACGTTGCAGGTATATCAATTCCGTATTTTAATTTTTCAAAAAGAGGCCATAACTAGATGTGCATAATCTTGGAATTTTCACGGACTAGGTACTTTATCTTGAAACGTTTTTTTTCAATTTTCACCATTAAGATAATACTATTGGGGCTCGAGAGCAGCCAATTTTGCCTATCCAATCTATTGAAGGCTATATCAATGCTCTCAGCACACGATCTTGCGTGTGCTTAGTTGTGCTTTTTTAAAGCATAGTACTCTCGCAGCTTGGATTTATTTTTCGGTCCTTAGGTATTCCACTTATCTTATTCTCTTAGTATTGCGTGGAGTTTTATTTCGGATCAAAATCACAAAATTCAACCTCAGAATGGGAAAACTGAGTTATATACTTGGAAATCCTAGGTTGTAAGCAGGCCCGCCACATCCCATCTCGGGCCCTGGTACCAGTTTTAAGGTCCGGGCCCCAAGCACGGAGGGGGGAGGGGTCCGAGGGGCATCCCCCGGGAAATTTTAGAATTTATACGACTAATCGGACGCATTTTGAAGCTTCCATAAAGAATTTTTCCATAAATTTATACGGAAAAATTATGTTTTTTTTCTACTATCAGCACAAAATACTTGCGAATTGTTGCATTCAAAACATCTGGAACATTTTTATTTTTTTTTTTTTTGGGGGGGAGGGGGCTTATGATACTATTTTCAGTTCTAAGAGGGCCAGGCCCCCCTGGACTCCCCCTTCGTTTGTCTATGGCGAGGGAGTTGAGTTATGAGCATTTGAAGTCGGAGGATGCCCAGACTGCGGAGACTCCCAGCATCTGACGACGGAAGAAGATGAAACGCAGTTACTAAAAATATCCCTCTCTACTGAAAATCTTGAAAATAGATAAAAATTTTCCGGGAAGTATACTTCTTTGAAAATTTAAGAAGAATTCTACAGTGCCCCAGCGTGTTTCTGCAAATCTATTCACCTTTTGCGAAATTTTTAGGGTAAATCTTTCACTTTTTCTTACGAAACAAGGGTTGCATGAGAACTCGTAGTGGTTTTTCACGGGTTACACGGGCCGCCTCGGGGGCCCGGGCCCCGGTACCAGGGACCCAGTACCCCCCCCCCTTGTGGCGGGCCTGGTTGTAAGTGTGCGCTATGAAGGATAAACTCTCCCGGGAGGAAAATAAATATGACATGTAAAGAGCAAATAAATAACCTTTAATAATTGCAAAATCAAGACACATAGTTTTTTCAGAGAAATGAGTGTAAGTGTACAAAAAACTGTCATGAGAAAAATTAAAGAAAAAAGACTCAACTTTATTCTAAGTTAAAAAATTACCATTTTGAGTAGGGTGGTAATATAAGTACCCACGTTTTTTCTCCTTAACTGAGTTTATTCGCTAGTACACTCAATTCATACAAGAGTGCAAGTTCTGCCGGAAATGTATACTCACGGATGGACAAAATATGGAAGCATGGAAAATTGAGACGGTACTATAAGTGTTTATTTACGTGTTTTTGGAGGACTAGCTGAATGTGTACTTTCCCTATCTGCCCTGAATCATGAGATTTTCATGAGAATTTTGAAAATGGCCAATCCATTCATCCATGAGTGAGTCTCCTCGGTCTTACGTATTCAATGATAAGGTATCATAGGTCTCCATATTCATTCCCTAACAAATATTCAATTTGTAAAAAACGAAAGCTGCACTATAAAAATGGGTGACGGTTATTGAAAATAAGCTATCGGTATTTTCATAAAGAAGCGTAATATCTTCTTTGGTTTTTATTTCAGCCCGATATAGGCACTTCCATCTCAAGAAATATATCATTGTTCATCAAGTATGGGATCAATTGGATACCAAACTATGAGTACATTCAAAATTTCATTTAATGGCATATTTTAATTTTTTTTATGTGTCTCATGATTTTCGTTGTTAATATCTCAACACGAAACACCTAATTTGCCCTTAAATGAAAATGAAGTGCATTCTGTGTTCTTCTATACCGTCTTGTGATAAAAGGTAGGTAAATCTACCTACCTTTTATCGTACACTACCTTTACTGCATTACGCGGTGGCGTGTGTAGGTGAGAAAATATTTTGAGCGAGTGTTCTATTCTGCTGTGCTACGGAAGAACGCCGTATGGGTGATAGGTCAAAATGTCCAAAACAAAATGTCCAAAAGTCAAAATGTCCAACCCTGAATGCCCAAAAATTTAAAAAGGCCAAATATTAGTAATGTCCAGCAGACAAATAAGTCCAAAAGTAGGCAAATGTCCAAATGTGAGATTAGGCATAGGTTGAGTTGTCATTGGATTTTTTGGACCAAAAAGTTGCTACTCATGACTGAGGAACATTGCCAAAGTTTCAAACTTCTATCTCAATTAGGAAAAAAGATACAGGGGTGGTAGGTGACTTTTGGATAACCCTGTACATTGACGTTGCTTAGAGCGATCGACTTGTGCTGCTGACACTGATTCTGATGAAGACGTCTGAAATCAGTCAGTATATATTTACTCTTTCCATTAATTTGGACATTCGCCTACTTTTGGACTTATTTATCTGGTGGACATTACTGATATTTGGCCTTTTCAGATTTTTGGGCATTCAGGGTTTGGACATTCTGACTTTTGGACATTTTGTTTTGGACATTTTGACCTATTACCGCCGTATGGGCCTTCAGACGTTGCCAAGTTTCCTCAGATGAAAACCGAATTTACTAGGAAAATTGTTAATACTGTTTTCTAAAAATTTTAGACAATTTTGTACGCATGCAATTTCATTCAAAATATCCGAAAATTTCAAGGGAAATTGGGCGTATTCCTATCAAACAGAACTAAGCGCCATAGGGGGAGGAAGGTAGAGGGGGGCTTTGATTGGCGACGGAACCGGGCGTCGGGCTCATTCCGTCCTATACTAGCAATGCTTTTCCATGGCGCTTAGTTTCGTTCGCGACAGAACGCGCTATTCGGCATTATCTAAATTCCTCAAAAGGAACTCAAATTGGCGCTTAGTTCCGTTTGACAGAAATACGTCCAAATATCCATGAATGAAGTCAAAAATACATATTTTATCAAGGAGAATTTGGCAACTCTCGAATGTTCATACGGCGTTTTTCCTTAGCACGGAAGTATCAAGGAGTATAATCATGAAATTTGCTATGGGTCCAAAAACCCAATCATGTTGCATTCTTAATTTGTTATATATGGTTGGCTTAGAACATACTAATTTTCAATCGGAGGAGTCCAACTATGAATTTTCAAATTTGGTAGCCATTACAAGTACAAATTCTATTGATGCTCGGTGCATATATGTAAGAGAATGCACGAATAATATCTGAAAAATGTTTTTATTAAATTAACACCGAATAAACTAAGTACTATTATATCGTATAAAAATTTATAATTATAAGTAGTGAATGTAGGAAAACATGTACATGAAGTATTGCTTTTTTCTTTTTTCCCCTTTCTATTTAACTTGTAATTGATCATGTGTACACGGAGAAAAAAACTTCGTGCGTGGGACCCGAAGCTGAGGTCATATGGATCTTTGAAGTTTTCGGATCACGTTTCTAAAAACCGAAGTTCACGTCAGACATCTGAAGTACTTCGATATATACCGAAGGGTTCGGGTCACACATCTGAAGTACTCCGGTACCTACCGAAGTGCCTCGATGTCTGACCCGAACTTCAGCCGCTCGACCTCAAGTTTTCAGATGCGCGATCAGAAAACTTCAGAGATCCATATGACCTCAACTTCAGGTCCCATGCACGAAGTGTTTTTCTCCGTGTGGGAGGAACCAACGAGCTTCAGATATGTAATGCAATATTTTTGATCGATATTCTTGATCTGAAGGAAAATTAACAATTGGATTAAGAACTGAACGTGAGAAGAAATGGTTCTTCGACAGTCAATGTCTATACCTACCTAATTAGTTGGTTTCGATCATGAGGTCATTATTTCTTTCATCACAGTTATGATTTAGGTACCGGACTTCTAAAAGCACCTCGTCAATCAATTATTTACACTAATATCATACATTTTTTCTAACTGCGAAAAGTACAATAACGAATCTGAAAGTAAAACCATACTTTTAGTGAAAATCACCGCGCCATGGTTTGAAGATTCAGGATAAATTAAGACCTCTCACTGCTGGCTGCTCGTATCATCTGCGCCACTACCCTTGTAAAATTTATTGGACAAGTAATTCTCTTTAAATTATTCTCAAAATGTTTGAGTATTTTTTCTTTTTTCCATCACCCCTTGAAAAGTGCCCTATTTTAGGGGGCGTAAGGAGGGTCGGACGAGCATTTTGAATTACTAGCCATGAAAATTAAAATCGGCGCTAATCGACGAGAGCAAATTCGATCGCATTCTTTGGACGTACCACTGTTCCAATCTTAAACATATCACTTGATTTGTGTTTGCTAAAATTTAAAATCTGCTCTCTTTTAAACTGTACTATTGATAGTTTATGTCGCACAGTGGATCGAGTCAATAGGAGAGGTTGGACACAATTCGGAAACTTTAAACGCTTATAACTCTATTTATACAAAACTGTGAGGTTCTAATAGTGGTCCCATCGGTTTTCTTGTGAAATTTTCCGATAGAAGCACCCCTCGAAATTAGAAATGTGACAAAATAAACATCAAAATTTGCATTTTTAGTCAAAAATTTCATGTCCGATCTCTCTAATTGACTCGATCCACTGTGCGTCGTCGGAAGGGATCCGACTGCGTAGCAGTCAGAAGGCGGGCCTCCCAGAGTGATGGTATCTGATGAGTGTATGAGACTCAATTTGGCACTGCGTTACATTTTGGCACTAAAATACAACGTGACGTTAGATTTTTGTCACGAAAGGGGAGGGGGTCATTCAAATCTCATCGTTCCACAAAAATACCCTTCAAAATGATAAATATTCAACTTTACCATTACGATAATGCAAACACACATCTAGGTAGCTTAAAATCTTTCGTTTTATTTTAAATGTTTTACCTACTTATTTACTTATCGATAATGAAACTCCCAAACCACGTATCCTGGTTTGCGACGTTGTAGACTTCCGGTTATACTTTATTTTTTAAATGGAAAACTACTCAACGTTAATTCTTGAGAACTTCCGTGATTTTTTTTTACTGTGCGCAGAAAAATCCGTAAAAATTTTAAGAAATAATGTTGATTTGGTGTCATTCAAAAAAATAAAATTGGAGCGGAAATTTTTAGACACCGCAAACGAGATACGTGGTATGGTAGTTTCACCGTCGTTATGCTGTTTTTTCAGGCAAATAATGAATGGATATCGTTGGAAATTTTTCAGGGCGCATAGGGCGAGGATCTGTCACTAAAATTTTTACGTAATTATATGCTCACTAATAGGTATTTAGTTTCCCTGTGACAGGAAATCTTGTACGCTATCAAATACAATGGTGTGGCGTGCTTTACGATAGATAGATCGATAGATTTAGATGTCAGATCAATCGATAGATTTAGATGTCAGATCAATCGATAGATTGATCTGACATCTAAATCTATTAAAAAGGATCGACAAATAGGGTGTTCGCAACGAACACCTTAATAATCGATTATTTACCATAGCTTCAAATGGGGATAGATATATTAAAAATCGATCATTCACGCCTCGCCACTGCTATCTAATAGTCCGACCTCTACGCGTACTCCCCTAAGAATGGGGGGGGGGGCTTCGGGGGTCCTTCCGCGGAGATTTTTTTAGAAAGAACCGTTTTTCTTATTTGAAGGAGGGGGATTTGAGCTGCCCAACGTTCCTGAGATTGCCTGGTTGCATGTCTGACGTTGAATACTTAATCGTTAAATATTCATTTGACTGTTAAATGAATAGAATCGTGTTGCTGAAAATAAGTCTTCCCATTTTACGTAATGGTCTTATACGAGAAAACATTAGTCATGCATAATTGAAGCGCTGGGTGCATGAAAGGGCATTTCTTGGTTGCGATGTCTCACAATCTTCGTTAACGGTAAATGTAATATGATTAAAGCAAATGTCTGCAGTTCGTTTTCACATTTATTGAATACCTATTTCTTATGATTTTACGATGGCGAAAACGAACAATATCAGAAAATTGACACAATGGTTTTCTCTCTAAAATATAAATTATAATTTATATTTTAGAGAGAAAACTATTGCTATAGCACAGCATAGCAGTGCTATAGCACAGGGGATTCCGAGACACCTCTACCGAGAAATGCCCTTTCTGCACCCAACGCCTTGATTGTTAAAGAAACGCAACACTGCATGACACAGTTTGGCGACAGTATACTTCGATACAAGTTAAACAAAACCTTATTGGAGCTGCTGATTTGTGATTTTAAAGGCTACTTTTGCATCACGAGGAGTCAATGATTGATCGACCTTTACTCGTATTTTTCAAAGGTAACAATCAAATGCCCATCAAAGAAGGGTCACTCGATTATGAATTAAGATGGTAAAAAAGTGAAAACAGAACGAAAAATAAACGAACTTACAAACGGTGGTATTTCCTTACAAATACTGGAGAAGAACAGGAGGCAGTCGTGGAAAAGTGAACATCCACAACGAGATTTTACCGTATAGAGTCAAACGCTTTTTGCGAGGGAATCTGATTGAACAAAAGAGGAACGCAAATCGTTCAATCTGACTTCAGTTCCTGCGTGCAGATGTCCCACTTTTGCAGTAAGTAGATTTTATAAATTAGAATGGGTTTTTATTATATTTTAGAATGCCTTAGTCCCTTAGTGCTGATTTATTTTTTTCTTGGCTGAAACAAAAGCAGAGTCACCTCTTAGCCAAGTTATGGGCATCTATCGAAACAAAATTAAATTTATCGCTACGCAAGACATATTGCAATCTTCTAAGAAATATATATTAGTACTACTTTGTATGTTTTTTTGGAGCTAAAAGTAGGTGTAAAATTTTCTCTGAAAATAATAGGTTGTACATTAATTTTGGAGTGGTCAAAATTAATTGAATATACTGTCTTGAAAAAAAGAAAAAAAATCCCAATTGTGGACCTTCTGAGTTAAAGCGTAATGCTTTCTATCTCCTAATTGCAGTTTTATTAGGCACCGCGAGCTCTAAATCTGAATGTTCTTATTTATCAATTTATTTTTCAGTCATTCGGAGCCTCCTCGTTCAAAAGGGACTGTTCATAAAATACGAAACGGATTAAGAGGGGGAAGCCTGAACCGGAGTTACGGGTTCTTCACAAGGGGAAGGTAGCGTTGAGGGTTGAAAGATAAAATAGGCGAGGAGCGCCGATTTTCAAAAATCTAAAATGACGAAACTACAGGACGGAGAATTTCTTCATCCAGATTTCATTAGTAAAACGCTAATTTGAAGGGGAAACGCAAAAATGACCGTTAGGTACGTGCTTTTTGTAGGGGAGGGGGGAGGGATCTATACTATACCCGCATTACAGATGCGTGCAGTGGAGAGAGAGGGGCAAAAAGGGGGGGGCAAGCGTTACGCATTATATGAACGGCCCTTTGATGAAATTACGAACTCTCTGAATTTTCGAATACAAGTTTTTTGTCAAGAGTTTTTGGGCATTGACGAGGGAAATTTGGCGCCCCCTCAAAATTCCAAATCATAGCCCAGACCCGTTATGTCTATTCGTCAGGAAAAGAAAATGTTGGGTCAGTTTACCTACAATTTGGAGCTGATTTTACAGGAGGGTTCCTCGGGTATGAAGGAAAATATTTCCGGAACGCACCTCCGTTGTCTCATTCTGGCATTCAGTGTTTTATCCGACCGAGACGAAATTTGTCAATTTTGTTAATTGTCCGATCAAAGACCACTGTTCTGCTATTTGCATCCATGGGCGAAAATAGGGGGCCGGGGGGCTTGCTCTCCCCGGAAATCTACTAGTTGATCCCTCCCAAAAAATATGAGGGATTTTGCTTAGTAAGTGCGTGACGTATCTTTCATCTGGGAAATTAGGTATAGTTGGAGCATTTTAAAAATTTTCCGGAAAGGGCCTTTCGAACCCGCCTCTAAAGTTTCGAACTTTCCTTTGAGCTAGGAGAGTCCCGCAGACCCTCCCTTAGTGGGGTGTCTTCTTGTGTCCTTCAGACCCGCCCTTAATGGGGTGTCTTCTTGTGTCCCTCAGACCCCCTTTGCTGAGGTGTCTTTCTGCCCCTCCTCCATGGAAAGTTCTTAGTTCCGCCCATGTTTGCATCTACGGGAATTTTACATAGCAAAGCCTCTCTTCAATTATTTGCCCACTATGATGTGCCTATGACGCTGACAAAATTAAGACCTACGATGAGGTACATATAAATCAAGAGGAGACCTTTGACTCCGTACAAACAAATTATAATCATCACCCGCGCCCGAAGACCTGGCTTTAAGTTTTCTTAAGGAGATGTTTTAGAAGTCACTCTGAAAAAGTAAACTCGTTATGTTGAGCGATTTAAATTTTTAATTTTCTTTTTTTCGTTTATAAACTTGTTCTCTATGCCTCGCGGCAAAACATATCTTTCAAGAATATGAATATAACCTCAAACATCAATTAAACATCAGGTATGATAACGGCAACAAATAACATTAATTCCACTTATCCATGTAGGTAAATATTATTTTGTATCATAAAATATTATATAATACGATACAATATAATATAGCACAATGTATAACGACACCAATTTTTTTCTTTCTTTCAAAAAGTAGACACGGCATGAACAAAGATAAAATGTGAGACGGCTGCATGTAATTTAGTGGTGGTGTTCTTAAAATGGTCTGTACGCCCATACATTTTCCCTTGAACTCATGAACAACTTTTGAAGATAAGACATTTACAAATATATAACAGTCAAATAAGAAATAGCACATTTTAGTGTTACGTTGCGAGAGAAAATATCTCAAACAGGGAATTGTTTAATTCTGAAATGTAACGCAAATATTTGTTCCTGGAAAATAAATAAACCCTGCGAGATATATTTGCCGTTATTTTAAGAGGAATAGAGAGGACAATTGTTCCCTGAACACAAGTAAAGGATGATTGACATTTGGGAACCCTAATTCCTTCGAAATTTTACTAAAATTACCATAAAAAAATAAACGAACCAAGTAATAAGTATCAACAAGAAATAAATATTATAAATGTCAACAGAAATTTTTTCTTGTGCCACAGATTAATACACCTATTTTTTTTTCATCTTAGTTTTTATTACTTTTACATTAAAAAAATTACCTTACGCTCCTTAAAATTAATGATTGTGCATCTCAAGTGTAAAAGGATGATTTTTCGTCATTACTCTGATCTTATCACGTGCGCATTTCCAGGATTTAAAACAATATCAAGTCACGTGAAAAAAAAATAAATAAAATAAAAATCTACCCATTTTCCAACTACAACTACTACAAGTTGACTCGCTGCAGAAAAAAAGTCCTCTGAACTAAATTCTGGGATGAAAAAAAGGAGAGTACAGTTTTGTACATGCTCAGGGATAATTATTCGTTTATCGTAATAAGAATGAACATCAACTTTACGTTAAAGGACGTCTCTAAAATGTTGAAAAACGCGATACGATGCGACGTTAAAAGCAGCGACCGGATGCAACTATTCGTGTCCTACGGATGTGCGTGTTGCATATATGCAAAGAACCGTGGGCGCTTCTCACTGAGCCGCCGCACAGTGGATCGAATCAATGCAAGAAGTCGGACAAAATATTGAAACTTCAAAAGCTCAAAACTCTATTAGTACAAGACGCAGAGGTCCAAAAAGCGGTACCATTGGTTTTCTTGTGAAATTGTCTTTCTGAAGCACCCCTTAAACTTCAAAATTTGACGAATTAAACATCACAATTTGCATTTTTAGTCCAAAATTGTATTGGCTCGACCTATCAGATTGACTCGCCACACGGTGCGCCGGGACTCATTTGATCATATTATAATGGAGGCGCGTTATTATTAACATTGTGGGACGCTGCTGAGCCATTCCCACGAGACAGTCCCGGAAATTTAAAGTCTTGCCTATAATCTATTTCTAAATTTCAAATTAGTATAATATCGAATATAAAAGCGAGAAAACCTCGTTATGAGTCATGGACTGGTCTTTGTCGCATTTGATACAGAAATCTTTCAGTAAAAAAATAAACGTATGAAAATAAAGGTCTCGCCCGAAAATAACCACGAGGTAAGCATTTTAAGTCATTGAAATGAAACCGCGATTCACTATGTATTTCATTCAGTTATTAGTTGAAGCCTTTCCGCGACAAATATGATGAGGACGTTTTGAAATATCACCTGATTTCAGGAGGTAAGTTGACATTTTAACTGGTTTCAGAATAATGAAGACAAATTTTTGCGTGTAACTGAAATTAAATGAAACCACCATTGGACCCTAAAATTTGTTAATGTCAATATGAACCTCAAGTAATTGCTTTGGAGACAAATTCGAGATCCCTAAAATTTGTAAATATATATAAAAAAGAAAAACTCTTTGCGATGTTTAGTTGTCCTTTTTTGGCTAAAAAACTGGCAAAATAGTCTCCCTTTTATTATGAACCTCAAGTAATTGCAGACAAATTCGAGATCCCGAAAATTTGTAAATTTAAAAAAAAAAAAAACTCTTTGTGATGTTTAGTTGTCCTTTTTTGGCTAAAAAACTGGCAAAATAGTCTCCCTTTTATTGAATCTTAACTTCTATAACTTCAGAGTTGGAGAAACTCGTACAGATGCACCAACCAGAAAATCTCGGAAGTTCTGAAATTCGTACTAATATTCCGTCACCTTCCAGTCATAGCATCACAAGCACCATGCGACGTTTTAAAATGTCCGCCAGAATTTTATTTTTTTACAGAAAATTTGTTGGTTGAATCCGTTGGAAAATTGCACTGAATTTTATTGGCAGCACAAACGGAATTCAGTGAAATTTTGGGACAGCCTCGTTGGAATATCTCTCTGTAAAAAAATAAAACGGCGAAGGACATTTTTGAACGTCGCATGGCGCTTATGGTACTATGGCCAGAAGGTGACGATTCAGGAAATGGGAGGACTGCGCAGATCACCGAATTGGCGGAAGATAATATTCCACAGAAACTCGGGGTGAAATTTCGACAGAACACGGAAAAAAAGCACGAGGTTGTTGGACGATGTGGACATTTCCAATTACTTGTGGTAGTACCCCAATTAATTATGGTGGCACCATAATTAATTATGGTAGTACCCCAATAAAATAGGTAACTAACCCAAATGTTGCGGTATTGCTCTAACTTGAGTTGCAGTACTGCCACAATTAATTAGAAATGTCCATATCATCCAACAAATTGGGCGGTAGTACCACAATTTTAGGGGATAACGGGTTAACCCCTGACACTTTTTTTTCCGTGAAGTTACGAACCGGTGTATATTTCAGGAATTTAAAGAAGAAGGACAAAAATCTGCGGAACGTGTTGGGTTTATAAGAAACTGAAAAAAAATCGAGTTTTAAATCCGGGAAATGAAAGCAGTGACGAAACGATAGAATTATAAATAAGATTCAGAGAATTCGAGATCAGAGGCGCTTGCCCGAGAGGAGCGGGTGCAGACGGACGCGCCCGCACCGAAAGCGGAGTCGGACGTGCCCTCCCCCGTAATAAAATCTGCTACTATTAGAGTATCCTTGTTGTTTACCGTGAGCAAATTAGAAGTATCCGCGAGGCCTCCTTTGTAACCGTCTTCGCCTTTCAGTGCATCCCTCTCAGCCAGGCGAAGCTTCAGCAAATGAATGCGCTCTTCCTTCTGAAAATGTCAAAGAAAAAACCAAATCAATAGCTCATCAGGGCAAATTCATTTCATCTGAAACACTGAAAATAAAACCCCAGCCGTGGAAGCCGTACTTATAGCCAAATTCACACCATCAAACTTTTCATCCAACTCTTGGATGCAACATGTGTAATGAAAAATTGGATAATGAAATAATGACGAGAGAGAACGACAATAATTGAAATAGCCTTCATGCACGCGGGCTTGTCGATTGCCTTTGACATTTTTGCAGTGGTGAATGCATAACTGAAGTGCGCTCCGGCTAGAATTGTATTTAGCAAATGGGTGGTTTTTATGGGAGGATTATAAATAAACAAGTGGTTAGAAATGATAACAAAAGAATATGAACTATGCAAAACAATAATCCGGATAGCGGAACTTGGCTGTTTTGAAAACGCCTTCAAATGCGGCGTGATACCTCACGCATTCCGGAGAGTTCGAATAGTTGTATCATTGCGCCTTAGAAATGCGACGGAAGATTACAATTGAGGACACCGCACCAAGAACACCCTATAGGCGTATAGGTCGTTATTAAGCCCATCCGCTTTTCGGATTCTACGTACCCTGGACTATGCTGTGGTAGCGATAGAATATAGATAGGTAACGGCTCGAGGTCGAAAAACCTTTTTTTTCCGAGTTGTGTCAGGCCACTGGATCGATGGGTGCAAGAACGACCTATAAGCGGGCCTATAAACGTAAGGGCCTATAAGGTGCTAGTCACCCCTTTCTTTACTCACTATCTATATTCTTTCATTTTGCGTTTATCATGCGTGATTAAAATGATTTATACTTCATATTGCCACCAAAATAACTGTTGGGCGTTATAATGGCCTAAAAAACGCTTTTTTAAATTAAATATATTAGAGTGTAAACCCAAAATGTATCGCAAAATCTACCCGGCATCCTTCAATAGAAGCGTTAGGTCACCCAAAAACACCAAAACAGGGTACTTGCATAGAAAAGTCTGCGCAGTGCATCAAAAACAAAACTTTAAATGCGTTTTTCTCAAAACGCGGTTTCAAGTTATAGGCTGTTCTTGGTGCGGTGTCCTCAATTTGAAGAAAAATTGATCGGAAACTCGAATGTGACGTCACATTCAACTTTTCGTTCAACTTTCAGAGTTGAACAAAAAGTTGGAACGAAATCCTCCGACCTACATGTGCCGCAGCTGGATATTCGCGAGCCGCAGACTGATGACGATATCACACTCCAACGGTGATTGAATCAAATTTTTTTGCCCCCAACTTTCCATCCAACTTTTCGTTCAATCATGTCGGATGAAAAGTTTGATGGTGTAGATTGAGCTTTACGGGCTATACAGACGTACCGGCCGCGTTCCGGGCTCAGAGGCAGAAATTAAGTTCCGGGCGTAGTGCGTAGCACCCGGAACAATTGGATTGCATTTTGCAATAAGGAACCACTAGCATTGCAATGTTGCTAAGATTGTGCAACTTCTTTTGTCTTGGAGGAAACCCCCGATTATCCATTTATAGTTCCTATTTCACTCGCTAAAAACTGTAAATTTAAGACAAAAATTAGCATTTAAAATTTCATGGTTTTTCACGATTTCCGCGATTTTATTGCAAAAAGATGAAGTTGCACAATCTTAGCATCATTGCAATGCTAGTGGTTCCTTTTTGCAAAATGCAATCCAATTAAAGCAATGGTTCCAGCTCCCGGAACTTTCAGCCTCTGAGCCCGAAACGGATGGTATGTCTATTAAGCCGGAGCTTTTTTTAAATTGTAGGCAATTTTCCCTGCTAAAACCGATTATGTTGATGAGTGAAACAAACATGGTGCCGTGTTGACGCCCATACGGTATCAACATGGGACAAGAAGAGTAAAATAACGTATAATAAGTAAATAATTTAATGTTAATAAGTGAATAATTTAATGTTAATAAGTAAAATAATTGCTCAACAGAGCGACCATTTGTTATCAGTAACAGAAATTTGAAATGTTCTTGTGCGGCCTCCGTGGCAAATTTATTTTGGTGTGAACGTTGTCAAAGTGACCAACAGAGGCCAATCAGGAAGCAACATCGGACTATGTTGAGACCAAGTTAGTACATTGCTAGCACGAAATTGGACGTATTTCTGCCAAACGAAACTACGTGCATCAAGACATGAGTCTCGAGACCCATAGTCCCATACGAATATATGCATACCAGGGCTCACGTCACAATGCACATAGTTCCGTTTGGTAGAAATACGTCCAATTAATACCATGTTGGAGTCAACGAGACACCATGTTTCACTAATCAACATGGTGCTTGGTAACAACATGATCAATATCAGCATACGGTCGCCCCGGTAGTTTCATTAAGGAGGGGGGGGGGTGAAAAGACAGGGCACTGTGGTGGTTAGGTGTCGCAGAACACCAGAGAGCGCTTTGAGAGCGGGTCTTACGTGGGAAAAAATAAAAAAAAATGAATGATCTTAAGGATGAAAAGACAATATAAATATACAAGGTAAAGGACGATGGGGGACAATAGGGTCACTGTAAAGATAAAATGCTTTCATACGGTTCAGGTTAAGCATGGCGTTAATTTATGTGAGACCAAGCAGCAATGTTTCCGGCATTTTAATTCAAATTTAATAATCTTGTAGGTTGAATTCATAGTGTGATATATTTACCTGGGCAATTAATTTTTGTAATTCTTCGTTTTCCATTAATAGTTTATTATATCGATCTTCATCCTCCTTGGACATTCCAAAATCTGGATTGTATTTTGAATCCGACTTGTCTCTCGGATGTCTTATAACCTCTATCACCTAAAAATAGAAGGATTGAAGAAAGAAAAATCAAACTGGTCATATTCCTGCAAGTCTTGAAATAAGTGATACTTAAATATGTATATTTTTTTTTCAAAAACCTATATATACATTAAAAAAAAAAAAAAAAAAAAATTAACGCTTTAGATTTAACTTATCAAGTTCGCCACACTTGGGCAACAAAAATACCGGGGAGAGCGAATATTTATCTATTTGAAGAACATGATTATATTGCTATCAATAGCTTTGGAAGTCATTGTCATTTCGGTGTCCATCTTTAAAATGGAAACTTTTTTGAAAATCGACAGCCTTTTTCCTCCCAATCTGAAAATCAGTTATCGGCCTAACCGGAGCCGCACTCGACCGTAGTAAGGCTCCAAAGGTGACGATAAGGCCGGAAAAATGTCTCATTTCAAAGGGTTTCAGGACATTCCGTCAACGATTTTTTGTCCGCGCACCTGTTTTGTCCAGTAGTTTACGTCCACGCGTAAAATAAGAGTTGTGTTGAAAGTAACTATACAAAAATGAATGAAAAAGGGGAAAAAACCAAAAAGCACGCAATCATTAGTTTTAACCCGTACGTACATTGATCTCTCAGAATCAAATACGTCTAATTTTGAGCGTTTGGTCGCGCGTACACCACGCTGCAGCACAGTAAATGCACAAAATATAAAAGAAAACATTAAAGTGCTTTTGGAATCATTAAATTTGACACGGAGCCACCTTAATATTTACAAAACACATTTTATATTTTCCTTTAATACATATTTTTTTTTTTTTATCAATTTAAATGAGGAAAATCCATGCAGAGTGTGCAAAAATTTCAAAATCATGAGCTGTAAAACGCCGACTCCGCGATTTTAAATATTACAACCAAACACAGAGCGGAGCGGCGCGCGGCGTGCTACCGGCACGGCGCGAGATGCGCACTAACACCTACAAACCTAAGGGGATACTTCACGCATTGCGCAATGCTTGAAGTATCCCCTTAGGTTTGTAGGCGTCAATGCGCGTTGGGAGTTGGCCAGCCGCGCCGCGCCTCAAGCAACTATTTCACAACAGAGGTGTTACATACATTACATTAAGTACCATGAGCCCAAAGTATTTTTCGATACAGACTTTTGTAATAGAATTTTGGCGAATCACTATACATTTTTTCATCAAAAATATACATATTTTATTTACTTTCGTTTATTAAATAAAATGTAAATAACGTGTAAAATGACGGCACGCCTTCGACTGGACTATATATATATCGCCTACTGGTTGTACCAGCGCCTTGAATTGAGAGGATAGGCAGCATGCAACAACACGGAAAATTGTGATCTAGTGACTTTGTTGCATTTTATCGCTTTTTTTTAAAACTAAATTTAAAAATGTATGACGATTGGATTTCTTATAGGTAGTCATGCAGATCATCTTATTGCGTCTTTTTGGCCATTATAAGGCAGGTATTAATTCTACGTGTATGAATCGCTATCAAAATTACTGTCTACCTTATAAAGATTGAAAGCTTACCTTCGGCACGAAAATGAGAGCCATGGATAGGAAGCAGCAGAAAATTAACGATAGCGCCATGAATGCAAAACTGGCGTCTTGCTGGGTTGAGATCACTAACGTGACAGGCGCAGTAATAATGCAAAATACGAAAACATTGTAAATTGACATCCCAACGTAACGGGAGTCGTTGATCTGTTTGACTTTTATACTTCTCGTTTCGTAAGCTAGAAATAGTCCGAATACTAGGACGAGACCTTTGTAAGTTCCCATCAATCCTTTAAAAAAAAGAAAAAAACCAACAAAGAAAAAGTAGGTCAGTATTTGACAAATATTGAAGACTAGAGTGCCAAAACCAAAGCAAACTAAAGCAGGTCAAAATTACGTGCTCTTTGACGACCTCATTGCACTCTGTAATAGAAGTCGATTGAAGTTGGATTTAATCTCGCCAAGCAACAAAACTAACAACGAGAGTGGAGTATCATACCAAGATTAAGGTGCGCCAAACCTAGAGCGCAAATCTTTATTGGTGCTTTGCTGATATGGTAAGAAAGGAACCAAACCACATCAGTTCTTGCCAAACATAGTTGGGCATTGTAATTTTTTACATGCAAACGGTTGTGCGGATTTTTGTGCAAATTCCAGTGAATTTTCTGCATAGTACGAAACAAATTCCTTAAAATTCCCAAAAAATCCGCAAAAACGTTCTCTTCTAAAAATCAAATTGCCTGGTTAAGTTTGGCAATAGCTGACGTGGCTTGGTTCCTTTTTGCTAAACGTGGTCCAATTGTCTGTATCACTGCTATTTAGTGAAGCGACGAAGGTGGAGGAACCCATGGTATGCACCAATGCAGAGGATGATGTCATATACCTACATCATTTTTTTATGAGCAATAGGTGCCTATCTGCTCTCATATTGGACGTAGCACTTTGGCATTTGAAAATAAGTGTTTCTGAAGCTATAGGTACCTAGTACGCTTAAACCACCAACATACTCGTACGATTCTGTGACTAGCGGACTGACTCGTATACTGCCGTGTCAAGGAAGAACGTCGTATCAACATTCGAAAGTTGCCAAATTGCCTTCGATAACATGTTTATTTTGAGGAAAGTTATTTTTTCCGCGAAATTCTCAAGAACTGTAGGTAAAATTACGAACAAAATTATCTGAAAAATTGGAAGAAAAATATTTAAAAATTTTCCCGAAAATTCGAGATTTATCAAAGGAAATTTGGCAACGCTTAAAGGTTCATACGGTTTTTCCTTAGAGCAAGGCAGTATAGGCAACCACGCTGGCTAATTAGGTACAAGGGCGGTTAGAAAAGCATACCTACTGAAGTAAATTGGTTCGACGGAAACTACTCACCAAGCCAAAGCATATGATTTTCACTTTCACAATGTTCTAGCTCTGGTCTTATCCTGATATCGTCGTCCGTCGAGAGTGGTTTTTCGAGGGGAAAAACGATGAGGCTCCTTGCGAGTGGGTCGTATATTTGCCATGGAATGAGGAAGAACAAATCGATGAGGAGAAGCAGGGTTACCATCCTGTACAGTTTCCACGGTTGGATCTTCTTCTGAAATCAAGTCGATAAGTTTTTAGTAGATGAGGTTTCTGAACATTTTCCCGACGCCCTAGAGAATTCTACTCTGCCTAACACTGACCGGCTGCGGAAAGGTACTCGAGAAGAAATTAAGTTATCAATTGAAAAGAGTCCCCGGATATTAGCAGTCCCTTTAGGATAACATTTTACACCATGGATGCATCTTGGATTTTGGAAAATTAAAATTTGATTAAAAATTCGAGTTTCTCGTCGAAAAGTACCAGTGGCGTGGCGTGAATTGCGATTTATCGATTGTTATGCCATTAAAACCTATGGAAAAGACACCTATGGACCTATGGAATAAACAGGGTGTTCGCAGCGAACACCTTAACAATCGATTCTTTACCATAGATGTAAATGGCATAACAATCGATAAATCGCAATTCACGCCACGCCACTGAAAAGTACCTCCCGATACTAAGTTTTACATAAATCGAACAAACAGGAGCCAGGACAGCATTGAAGGCCACGTTCGCCATCTTGGATTTTGAAATTTTATAATTTCGACTGAAATTCCAAGTTTCCTTTCGGAAAATATTCTCTGGATACAAAGGTTCACACAAACTGATCGCACAGGAGCCGAAATAGCATTCTAAGACACGTCCGCCATCTTGAATGTGATTATTTTGTAATGTTGACGATAAATTCGCGTTTCCCGTTAAAAAGTGCTCTTTCATGTCGAGTTTTACAAAAATCGAACCAACAGAAGCCGAGAGAGCATTTTAGAACACATTCGTTATCTTGAGTTTTTTGGAATTTACAAAATTTGACTCAAACGCGTGACATTCAAAACCATGCTCAGATTTGGATTCCTCGTCAAAAATCGATGTAATTTCATGAATCATACGCTAGCATGGCGTGAGGGAAAAAGAGGCTTAACGTGTGCTTACAGATTCTGACATATCAATCCGACGTGGCAATATGGGTCAGGGCATCTAAGTGTGTAGGCGGATGAGTAAGAAGAAGTTTACCTCTCCAGAAACACCTCGGGACGCGAAGCCAGAAGCTTGGCGCCGCCGGCGCTTAGAGCAGATTCCGGATACCCGCAGCCGCACCCGCCGCGCCAGCGACAAACATCAAAGAAGAGTCTATATGCCTACGTTTATCCTCTCTCCTCCATGCTATGCTAACGTATGATACATGAACTCACGTTCATTTTTCACGAAAAATCCGAATCTAAGCTTAGATTTTGGATATATTGCGTTTCAATTTATTTAAAATTACAGCAGAAATGACAAGGGTTTTCCAAAAATGTTATTTATTTATACAGTGGTGACTGTTAGTTTTTTTTTTTTACTAGGACGACCATGATGAATGAAAAATGCCGTTTCGAGTTGCGTAGTTTTACGAGCCACCGGACCTGTTTTCACCCGGCTAATAAAGCTAGAGTTAATACACAACATAATGTATAAAACGCATAATTTAACATGTAAATTTACAAAGCACATTGGAGATGGTCAAAGATGCGTGAAGCGAATGTGCTTACTTTCGGTTCACTCTTGGATTTCGTGGTTAGTCGGTGGACCCTCCAAATTTTACTGAACATGGCACCGAATGAAAGCGTGAATCCGATGGACAAAAACCAGGCCCTGGCTTGGCACACGAAGGGATACACATCCTCGGACACGAACTGCCCGTCCAATCCGAGGAGAAACACACTTGATAGACAGATGACAATCCCGATAAGCATGATTGTGTTACACTTAGGGTGGGAGGTTTGTATTACCCTGGAAACAAATGTAACATATATTTGTATATTTTCACTTAGGTATGCAGAAAAAGAAGAAAGTCAGCAACTACTCGCAAATGTATCAATGCCAAACAGCGGGTCGATTGTTGGATCGTTAGCGAATGGACTTGATCGATAAATCCCTATCTTTACAATGCTATTTATCGATCAAGGTCATTCGATAACGATTCAACAATCGACCTGCAGGAAAGGTTGTCGGTAAAAATTAATCAGAAATTAGTCAGAAAAAATAAAGGAAAAATTCGTAAAAAAAGGGAATTCGAAGAAATTGTGAATAAAATGTAAAAAGATTTTAATAGGGTTCAACGCTGCGTTGTTGAAATTGGTAGACAAAGCTATAGACAAAGATGACAAATAGTATATGGAGGGATCCGGATCCTATTGGTGGAAGTAGGTGGTTGCAATAGACAAAGGAGGTAGGTAGGTAATAGAGAAATTAACGGCAACCCACGAGAGGCCCTTTAGTTAGTCAGTCATTTTCTCCCTTAGTCTATTAGAACCACCCATTTCAACCAATTGGGTCGCTCCATAATCTTTATGTCTTCTTTGTCTATCGCTTTGTCTATCAATTTCAACAACACCGAAAAAAAATTGAAGTTAATTTAACATTCTGGATGTAAAAAAAGTGTGCGAGAACTTACAATATGCTAAAATACCTGCCACAGCAGTTACTTCAGCAATGCCAAGATGTAAAATTAAGTGCTGTGGCGGGTAATTCAGCATTTATAAGTTCTCGCACACTTTTTTTACATTCAGAATGTTAATTTAACTTCCCTTTTTTTTCGGTGAATCAATCCGCAGATCGAGATATACGCGTCGTTTTTTTTTTTGGATCGGTTCGTTTCGGTTCGTTTCATTTCATTTCCAACATAAGTTTCAGTCCTCATCCCTTTTAAACTCACACCCTCCCGTGAAAAAAGTTAAGACATGAATTGTCTCGACTGATGTGATGTAGACAATCATGAGGAAAAGATCCTCTAGAAAAGAAAAATGACAAACCTCCTGTGACTGTAGCACATGTTGAAAGCAATAAGGCAAATGGCAACCAGGATTCCGATGATAGAGATTGTCCACATGCAAATACATAGAGGAATCGAGAGGGTTCGAAGTACCCGCTTCACGATCGTTCTATCCTGCGGCACCTTCCCACCTGGAAAAATAAGCCGAGAGAGACGGCGTGTAAAAATATTTTTCCGGAAATTACACGCAGAAAAGTAATTTTGAAGAAGCTAGAGCAAATATGGCTTAATCACAGTGCAACTTTTTAAACTTTCTTATGACTAGGTAGGTCCGCATTATAGATACCTCATCATTTCACAGTCATAAAGGCTAAATTTAGTGAAAGGGTGCCATGTGAAAAGTAGTTGTTCAGTTATCAATTAAGTAACCCCACTTTTTCTTCAGTTTTACATGGTTCACCATCATTCATTTACATTTTAGATGATGTGTATTTCCGTTCAAGCTACGATGAACTAGGAAACTCCTGGATAGGTACTTTTTGACATAATTCATCAAAAAGGTATTTTCGAGAATCTTGTCAGTCTCGTTTATTCCTTTCATTAGCTCTCGGGCAATGGCGATAGATTAGCTCAGACTGATATATTCTCGTGTGAAAAAGAAGAGGTCTCCACCGACGGAAAGTGATACCTACCAATCCATTGTTCCTTGTTGATCCAAGTGAGGTTGTCAGTGGTAGTCTCGTAGTACCCCAACACTACGTATTTTTGACCAATCATCTGTTCAATTTGAGTCAATGCTATTCTGTCTCCGTACGAGCTGAAAGCGACATCTCCCTATGGAAAAAAAATGAGTAAGGAAGGGCGGAATAGAAAAAGAGACAGGAAAAAATCAAATGTACCCAAACTCTTACATCCTTTTTCAGGAAGCACCACCTCACCTGTGAGAGCATAGCATTTTAAGTGTCGGAGTTCCCACACAAATTATCGCTCCTCTGACGTAAGGGCGTATCTCGATTTCCACGTGAGCTCTGATCTCCGTATGAGTCCATGCTTTCCGAGGCTTATGTGGAATTAGAGATACGCTTTTACGTCAGAGGAGTGACGAAATGTGGGAGCGAGGAGAAAAATGGGATCAACCAATAGTTTTTGGATAAGGTTGAGGAAGGATCTTCATTTGACAGATGTAGGTAACTATTCAGCTTAGGTAAATGACGCAAGCGTTGCAAACTTCGCTCTCTATCAAAGTAAATTGAGAGGAAATTTGAAAAAGAGACCTTGAAAGGAAAAATTGTCATCGTGCCTGTATTTACTGCTCGGCCATTTGGTGGACGGTCACTCGAGCCTCTTTCGACAAAACTCAAAGACATGTTGTAATTGTTTCGACATCCCCTGCTTCTACGGCAATTTTTCGCCTTAATTGTCAATCGAACCTCAAGAGTAAATGAATGTCAGTTTGATTATTGGACTCAATTAAATTTTATTTACACCTCCAGGCGAAGAGATTCCACAAAATAACGATTATCTTTTCACGAAAATTTGCAAAACACCATTTCCTCCAAATGTTTACTTAGAACAGTCGTCGCACACACGTTAAATTGTTACGTAGTAATTTTTAAGCGACGGTAATTTTTTTATTAAGATGTTGTAGAGCGATAAATTTTCACACGCAAATTTTCTGTGGAAGGGATCTTCCTTGAAAAGTTATTTCGAGCACATTTTAATTTTTCGCTCTCAGTTGATGATCCTCATCAGTGCATCATACCTAGAGCTTAAAAATTGAAAGCATTGAGGGAAAAAGCACTTACGGAGATGCCTAGGAACTTAGTAGAATTCATTGCTGAGTATATATCATCCGCAATTGCTTTATCAGTATATGTAAAATCTTTTAGACGTCTTTTGTTTTCTAATGCTTTCTCCATTGTTTTATTGAAAGCTGGAAAGAAAAAGATTACGTAAATAAAAGTTCTGAGATCATTCTAGATTATACGAAACATTCTATTAATCATACGAAACTCAATTTTTAGTCGTCAAATGTACTGTAGGCGTTAAATAGAGCCTAATTGGCAAATTCGTCGAGTGAAGGGCTCTAAAAATTAGCTGTTAAAAAGAAGCAGAAAAAACCTTCACTTTTTAGAAAGAACTCGTGAGTTAAGTAAAATAAACGGCAGTCAAAATCACCTTTCCTCATTTTTTTTAAATAACAAAAAATTAAAAGAAAATTGCTTAAATAAAAATGCCAATTAAGAGAAAGGAAAAAAGAAAGAAAAAACGTGACACGGAAATGCAATTAATTCATAGTGGTATTTTCCAACGACTTTGCAAGTTACAACAGCACTGCTGCGTGCTGATCGCTGTAGAGACAGGTGGGAGAGTCAAAACTCCTTCAATTTTTTGGTATGCAACACGGACATCCACCAAGCACGTAAAGTCGTATCTCTATAGCATGGGCGCTTTGGCGTTCTTTGTGAAGACGCGCTGCGCAACATTCTATGCTGTATCATCATCTTTGATTGTAAAGCAAGTATTTTTAAGGGCTCAGTGTTGTTACTACTCGTGACTTACCAACTTTCTCCCTTTTTACGAGGAAGCAGTGCTTGAAATACATTATTGAACAAACTTAATTGAATGAAAGTTAGTCTGAGTGTATTATTAAATTTTGAGTGAATTGTAATACCCAAAGCGACAGCCCAAACTGCATCGTATGCAAGAGGTGCTTCTTGATATCCCACAGGATACAGTCCTTTCGATAGTGATTCATTATATTTACCCTCTCGTAGTTTTGCGTCTAACCTTACGCGAAAGTCATCAACAGTCTGTAAAAATTGAAAACAAGAATTTTATTTATTATTTTTATCAGCTTAAATTTTATGATCCTAACACACGATGACTTTCAGATCAGCCATGCTTATAAATGTGGGCGCTCTTTTCCTAGGAAGTATGCATTTCCCCTGATGCAGAAAGGTATTATTTCGTATCGCAAAGAAACTGAGCTCTAATAACCTGTTAAGCTCTTATGGATTAGAGGCAGAGTCTCCGATTGAGGAAAAATGCACCACATTTTGAAAACGTGCACCACGTTTTGAAGTGTATATGTTAAGTAGTCAATTAATGTCAATGGTAAAGACTGCATTTTGCAGTTAGGAGCGATAATTTCTGATTTAGTTTAGGAACAACGAAAGTACCTTTAGTTTCCATGTGCACATAATTGTTGTACGAATGAGACAAAAAATTTAGCTTCTTCTCAATTACAAACTGTAGGTCAATTGTACATTCAGCTATAGCGGGACGGTTAAAAAGAGAATGAGCCGTACAGAAAATAAATAGTGGTTAATTATTATATCTAGCTGATATTCATCGCTCAAAGAGGATGAATACCCCTACGATATATTAGGGTGCGATCAGCCCATTTTAAAAAGTGTCCTCCAGAGGCTGGTAGGTCAATGTGCATTTTTTTCCAATTCAAAATATTTTGTAACATTAAAAGATTTCACCAATGCACATTGATTGGCATTCAAAGTTCCTGACTCAAAAAGATTCGCGATGGGATTTTAATTGATTGGTATCTATCAGTGGAAGGGAAAATGAATAAAATGCAAACCATTCCAGAGATGGTGCGTTGATTTGTGTTCTGATTCCACATTAGAGCCTCGGTTGTGAGATGTCCTTCGGCGGCGATTTCCATCTCCCTTGGCGAGCAGTCGACACCGTCGTCAGTAAAATTGCCTTTGAACCAATTATCCTCGTACCAACCTGAAAATGAAGTAGAAATTGTAAAAACAGTAGACCATGATCAATTTAAAAGAAAAAAAATAAGCAATTTTCAGGTAAAAATAAGTTTTAACAAACAGATTATTAAAATAATCAATTTATAAAGAATTTTTAAGAATCAAAGAAACTTTAAATGACAGATGTAATATATAACCAATTTTTTTATAAACTATTGACTTTTTATTTTAACCATTATTCGACTTAATACTTCTGACAAAAAGCTATTGATGATTCCCAGATCATTGACGTGACCGTTCACGGTGAGAGAAACTTCATTGCTATAGAAACTTTGAAATTGAGGCACTTATACTGCTAATGAGAGAGTTCTATATATAAAGATTTATTGTTCAAAACTTTTACAAGTTACATGAAATGGCATACAGAATAAGAAATTAAATTAGAACCAACTACCAATTAAAAAAAAAAAAATGTATCAATGTGCATATGTTGACTATAAAATAAATAAAGAAGTAATAAACTTTTAGATTGCACTAGCGTTTGATTTCGTGGCTGTACAAAGTTGTACATTAAATTATTTGGTAAAATAAACAAACCCAAATATGTGACAAGAGGTGGGATTAAAACATAAGAAAAACCCTGAGACATAAGAAAAACCCTGAATGAGAGAGTTCGGGAAAATTTTAACAAAGAAAAAACTGGTGCGCAGTAATCTAATGGGCGGTCTTGATGATTAAAACGCAATCCACGTGCAGAAGTGGCGTAGCGTGCTTTGCGATATATCGATCGATACGCCACTCAAACCTATGAAAAAAAATCGATCATTAGGGTATTCGCAGCGAACACCTTAGTAATCGATTCTTTACCATAGCTTCAAATGGCGAGATATCGATAATCGATCATTCACGCCACGCCACTGATGCAGTCAAGCTACGGAAGCACGACAAGGCCACTATCGACTTTCACACAAATCGTCGCTTGGCTGTTATAAGGGCGTAAACTGCACACTCGGATGAGCCCGGAAAAACATTGAGTTGTATGGATGACAGGGTTCATTGCAAAGTGTAGTTACGCCCCTGTGTCTGGTAGGCGACGAAGTGACCTCACACTTTTAAGACTGTTGCGTTGACCGTCAATCATGCTCAATCATGAATCTTGTTCTGGGAGATTTTCGGAAAAGTTTTTGTTTGATAAGGCAAAACTCGGTGACCAAAGTCGGGAGATGCGTTTCTTTAAAAATAGAACGATAAAAATCTTTGATATTGTTAAGTTTATTTTAAAAAAACTAAACATACTTAGTGTCTCCTGTAAATTATCAGTGAATTCTCTTTTATGAATAAAGAAAATTCTCAGAAAAATGGAAGTGGAGATTAGCACGCAACGTCACTGTTGGAGGTAGACGTACGCATCATTCGACCTCAGCCGTTTCAGTATTCCAAAAAGAGCACTTACCAATGAAGAACCAGACGTATTGTTTTCCGTAGAGTTGATTTTTATAGATTTCGCATAAGACTTTCCGTGCTGCCACAACATAGAACAAACCGACGATGATTCTTGCGTCCTGTCGACGCAAGTTACGGACGGCATCAGTCGGGTCGCTTAGAAAACTTTGCCTTGTCATGATTTCGATGTCCGCCTCTTTGCAGCGATTTTCTAAATCTTCCACAGTCTGAAAAAATGATACAATCGCTTTAAAATGATGATTGCGAGAAAAACAAAAAAAGAAGAAAAAAAATATTATTCGCAAGGTATCCACGAAAACTACACAAAATCTATAAAAGTGCCAAACCACGTATCTTGGTTTGCAAATCTCCTGCCACACTTGAATTCTCTTAAAAACAGCTAATTAGCATCAAATTTTCTGTTTTTGCCCCTTTCAATTGAATTTTCTTTTTTCTTTCAACTGCATTAGTGAAAATTTCGCGCAAAAATGTCGATTAGTAATTATTACTTGTTGATGAACAGAATAGGAGCGGAATTCTTAAGCACCGTGATCAAAATCTGTGGTTTGGTAGTTTAGTAGTCAAAGGAATACTTGAGTATCAGTTGTAAATGCACGGTGAGATTATACTAAAACATAAATCTTGAGAGTTGTGTTTCAAAATTTCCTCTCCTTCGGAATTTCTTAGATGATGCATTATACGTACTGAACACGTTTGTGCAAATGTTTTAAGAAATATTCTTGGAGAGGAAAAGAAAAATCACATGAAACTGGATTTACTAACAGTGACTAGTCATTATTCACATAAATTGAGCCGGTCCGAGTATCCACAATGTCCCGAAGGGCCGAAATTCCTGAGGAATTTCATCACAGAGATACGGCGCACCGTTTATGACGTCTGGATACCACTATTCAAGCTCATCTGTTATGCGTATGGTATATAAAATAAATGAAGGCGTTTTCATGTCATGTTGAGGAGCACTACATCCTTGAGAGATTTCCAGCGAGTGCTTCGCCGCACTCAAGCGTTACGATCGGTGGCGAGGCTTGAATGATAGAGTATCAATCTATCCCCATTTGAAGCCATGGTAAAGAATCGAGTATTAAGGTGTTCGTTGCGAACACCCTGTCTATTCTTTTTCATTGATTTAGATGCCAGATCAATTGATACATCGTAAAGCACGCTGCGCCACTGATTACGATCAAGACAAAATCGGTAGAGAATGCATACATTATATCAAACTTACAGAGATGAAAACTTCCTCTGCTTGTTGCAAAATTGCAATCCTCGACCATCCGAACTTCTTCATCAATTTGATACGCGTCGGGTTATGGACGGTAGCGGACGGATGTGTGCGGAATAACGTCGGGAACCTGTTTCTGTCGGACAGAGCGGGAGAACTTGCCCCGTAGCAAAGCTAAAACCGAATAATTTTATTAAAAACACCCACTTTCTAAAAAAATATCATTCATTTTTCTGTTTCATATATTCTCATGGAAAATAGACAAATAAAAGTGTATATTTTTTAAAAGGTTCTTCAATAGCAAGACTATAGTACTGGTTGTGAGAATTTGTAAAATTACTCATTATTCATAATCATGTAATTTTGCACAGCATAATACTCGAAAAGGTATTTTTAAAACTCCATTTCTATCTTTTGTCCAAAGAAAACGTGGAAATTATTTTGGAATTCGAACATGATCTCTCGTTTAATGTATAATATTTAAAAAGCTAGAATTTTCCACCATAAATTGTGCTCAGTCACTTATTTTCCTCTTTTGGTAGCACCTTAAAAATGAAATGAGGAAATTTCACCACAATGTAAATCATATTAATAGCTTAGACTTATAAGACCCGTGAATCTTAATCGCAACGTTTGAAAATTGTTTCGCATAGATTCTCTTGAAGAATAACAAATCAACATTATGGCTAGAAAGTTTCTCTCATTTTCTTTACAATTTCTCAGCATCCTGTAATTAATTATTTCAGTTCATATTATTGATACAGTTATTCCTTCAAAACAAAAAACAAAAAAGTATGCATACAAATTTTGAACCAATGCAATTGAGACACATATGGTCCTAGAATGTCGTCACTCCTAAGGAAAGAAGCTGTTAACGGACAACGATCAAAATGGCTCTTAGGTACGGTTTTTTGTCCTCGTGTTTCTTTCACAAATGCGGAGGGCTGGCTCGTCAATTACAAGTAAAGGAATATAGGATACTCACTTCTCAATTTTACTGAAAAGTTACAACAATAAACATTTAGAAATCAACTATACCACGACAAGATTCCACATTTTGGCTGCCTCTGCGACCGTAGTGCAGACGGTGCTACATCCTGCAAGTAACATCAGTTTCTGCGGGTCGTTGTACAAAAGATTGTACATTACGGACGCTGCAAGCCCCGGCTCACACTGAAAATTGTCGAAATTATTAGTGTTTGATCAAATTATAAGAATGTTTTATTATTCATTTTAATAACCTGAATCACTGAAAAAAAAAGATTGGTAGAATTTACCATTCCTTCTCGCTGTATTACACACATCAGCGTCCCTCTGGCAGAATCGACTTGAAGATGGGTAGAATTTGCCATTCCTTCACACTGTATGAAGTATAGCGTGAAGGAATAATAAATTCTACCAATCTTGTTTCTCAGTGATTGCTGAAAACTGACCCCTCGTATCAGGGTAAAAAATCTGCCGTCCTAAAATTGAACGCCATAAAAACAAGTATTTGATTGTCAATGAATAAACCAACCTATAGTGATGAGGTCTCTTCTCCTGGACCCCATGATTTCAAAGCAAATTTTTTTTTTGAAATTTTTTATAAACATTTTTTTAACATTTTTTTTTACATTCTTTTTTAAATTTAGGCTAAGATTTCAACAGCTTACCTCGCTGTCGTTCCAATGCAACTGAAGTGTATACCCGGCAAGAATATCATTCCTCTTGTTGACATCTTCTAGGGCTAAACTGGCCGCCGGCTCACAAGCCTAAGAACAAAAGATGGAGGTTTTTAAGTTATATATGCTGATTTGCGACACAAAAAATCTGATGACACGCACATATACAGTTGTGCATCGTTGGAATCGTGTTTAGATTGTTGACTCTTATACTACCGTGCAAAGAAAAAACGCTGTATGAGCATTTGAATGTTGCCAAATTTTCTCTCAGAAAACACCCATTTTTGAAGAAAGTTGGGAATATTTTTCCTTGATATTGTCAGACTTTTTAGACCGAATTTCGAGCAAAATCAGCCGAAAAATCGGAGGAGAAATATTCACAAATTTTCCTGCAATTTTGTTGTTTTTTGAAGGAAATTTGGCAATGCCTGATGGCGCATACGGCGTTCTTCCTTAGCACATCAGTATAAGAGACCACGTACGCAAGTTTGAAGGACTGGTCTCGTCCAGTTAATGAACCTTTAGATAAGGTAAAGAAGATCTGTCCGAGTGGTCGCTGTCATCTCGTTGTCCCACTTCCAAATCGAATTTTTTGTTGAAAATCAACTTTCCTCCCTGATCTCAAAAACCCATCGTCGCACAATGAGTCGAGTCAATGGGAGAAGTCAGACAAAATTTCGAAACTTTAAATGCTTATAACTTCGTCCATTCAAAATTTTGAGGTTCTAAAAGTGATTCCATTGGTTTCCTCGTGAAATTTTCTTCTACATGCACCCCTTGAAATTCAAAATAGGACGAAATATTCTTACATCAAAATTTCCAGTTTCAGTCAAAAATTTCATGTCCGACCTCTGTCTCTGTAATTGACTTGATCCACTGTGCGCCGGATACACTTTCGAAAACGGTCACACTCGGTCGAAAACCCTGGCGATCAGTTGATGTTACACTCTAAATAATTTTTCTTCGAGCTAGCAGAAGTTTGGCTAAGAAACTCAAAAGTACAGAAGTTCTTTCGGCTCCTAAATTATTGATACTTTCAATTTGTATCCCAAGCTTTGATTTCAGATGATCGAACACTGGAATGAATTATTTTATTACTCACTGCGTCAATGAGCTAAAATGTTGGGTGACTCTTACCTGACCTCCTTGCCATCCACCCTTGCCGTTGATAGGGAATATACCTCCAATGTGAAGCACATTGTCACTTGAAACACTCGTTAGAAACACCAGGTAGAGAAAGGTGCAGGCTCGTAGTAGATATTCCATTTCCTGTTCATAGAAAAAAAATACATGCAAAAACTTAATTTTCGCTTTTCTGGAGGGAGAAAGACAGAGCAGAGAGAGCGAGAGAAGGAGGGCGGAGACAAATGAAGAGTGAGGTCAGAACAAAGGCATTGGGCCAGGAAGAAAGCTCGACTCAGGGAAAGCAAAAACGCCTTCAATTGAAAATGATACTGCGCAACACACGGAAGTTCGAATAGTTGTATCATTACATATTTACGATGTTCCGACGTTCTAAAAAGCCCGATTCCACGGAGGGAAGAGGGGGGCAGGGGGAGAGAGAGACATGGTAGGGATTTTAATCACGTAACTGTGCTCTAGGACATGTGTGCGTATTTTAAAGGTTGATTGGTCAAGAGGCAAATATTTGATGAAAATCTGAGCAAACTTTGATCTAACATAGGCGGTTTTTTTCTCTCTTTTTTTTTTCTTTTTACCGAGTAATCAAAAGAGAGGCAGAGTTTATCATACGTTCTCATCTATTTTTGAGCTCTTCATCTTTAGTCGTGACGTATAAAACTCTGAGACGAAATTCTCTACTGAAAAAATACCGCCAAAATTATATCTAACTTGAGTATACATACGACGTCTAAAGGATATCTGTGCGTGTGCGCATACAGACCCACACAAAAATATTTCATGAATTAACTGCCGAAAAATGGTTGCCAAATATTGACAGAAACAATTACAATGTGAAACAGATCCTTTAAATTTTGAATCTCAAGTAAAATCTCCTGATGAGTACACTTCGAAAAGAACCAATTTCGATTAAAGTGAATTTGGCTCATTTTAAAAGCTTCAAAAAGCGCCAAACCGCCGATCAGCCAAAACTTATTGTGGTCGCTGGGTGGTACTTTACTTCAAAGAGGTCAAAGGTGAACGTCTCCATGTCCTCTATGCATATTACTCCATTCCTCCTATCGTGTTTTAAATTTCATTGGGGTGTTAATAGACAATTTTACATGCAATGCAAAGTATTATATGACATAAAGAACATAAAATGTAAGGGTTAAAGCATTTAACCTACTTTTCGTTTCCAGTTGGTGATTCTTCAGAGGTCCAAGCACAATTCCCGTCGGGAGTAAAATCGTCGGGGGAAAAGGAGACAACACGGTATCACTTGCTCATTTCTGAAGAGAACGATCGCGATAAGTTAAAAAACATTTTGTGCGATTCTTACTAAAAGTTTCCCCGTTGGATATCGATTTTGAAAGGGGGCATTTTCCTGGGGCATATGAGCTCGGGTCCTGCGAGGCAAAGGGGTGCGCGCGCACGGAGTCAGCGCTCTTGCGCCCTTTCGATGGTCTACCCCTCCCCCCCTTCCTTTGACCTGGTGCCATCCGCTCCTTCCCGCCCGGCTCAGCAATATTGTAGGAACATGCTGCCGTGCTAAGGAACAACGTCGTAGGGACCATCAGGCGTTGCCAACTTTTCTTCGATAAAATACAGGATAATAAATACGAATATTATCCTTATTCCGTTTCTAAAAAATTTGGTTTAATTCAATCTAAAGTATCTGAAATCGTGAGGGAAAAATAAGCGAAACTTTTAATACATATCCTCATCTGGAGCAATTTAGCAAGATGCGGATGCTCATACGATATTTTTCCCTAGCACGGTGGTATTGCTGACCTTACTGTATCGTTGGCTCGCACGAAAAATTAAAGAGAACGATGGGTGCGCGCTATCTATGTGTGTAAATGTACGGGAGAGGGTCAGGCCCGCCACATCCCATCTCGGGCCCTGGTACCAGTTTTAAGGTCCGGGCCCCAAACACGGAGGGGGCGAGGGTCCGAGGGGCATCCCCCGAGAAATTTTAGAATTTATACGACTAATCGGACGCATTTTGAAGCTTCCATAAAGAATTTTTCCATCAATTTCTGCGGAATAATTATGTTTTTTTTCCCCCTACTTTCAGCACAAAATGCTTGCGAATTGTTGCATTCATAACATCTGGAATTTTTTTTTGGGGGGGGGGGGGGGGCATATGATATTATTTTCAGTTCTATGAGGGCCAGGCTCCCCTGGACTCCCCTTTTGTTTGTCTATGACAAGGGAGTTGAGCCATGAGCCATTGAAGTCGAGGATGCCCAGACTGGAGACTCTTAGCATCTGAAGACGGAAGAAAATGAAACACAGTTACTAAAAATATCCCTCTGTACTAAAAATCTTGAAAATAGATAGAAATTTTCCAAGAAGTATACTTCTTTGAAAATTTAAGAAGAATTCTACAGTGCCCCAGCGTGTTTCTGAAAATCTATTCACCTTTTGCGAAATTTTTAGGGTAAATTTTTCACTTTTTCTTACGAAACAAGGGTTGCATGTGAATTCGTAATGGTTTTTTCACTGGTAACACGAGCCCCCTCCGGGGCCCGGGCCCCGGCACCAGGGACCCAGTATCCCCCCTTGGGGCGGGCCTGCCTTCATTCACGCTGGGCTTGTTGATTTCCATTTTACATGACATTTTTGCAGTGGTGAATGCATTGCTGGAGTGCGCTCCAGCTAGAATCGTATTTACAAATGGGTGGTTTTTCTACGAGGATTAAAAAAAAAACGAGTGGTACTTAAGGAATATAACAAAACAATATGAACTATTCAAAACGATAATCCGGGTATCGAAACTTGGCTGTTTTGAAAACGCCTTCAATTGCGGCGTGATACCTCACGCATTCCGGAGAGTTCAAATAGTTGTATCATTGCGCCGTAAGAATGTGACGGAAGATTTAAATGGAAATAGCCTCCATGCACGCTGGGTTTGTCGATTTCCTCTGAAATTTTTGCAGTGGTGAATGCATTGCTGAAGTGCGCTTCAGCTAAAATTGTATTTATAAATGGGTGGTTTTTCAACGAGGATTAAAAATAAACAAGTGGCACGGAATATAACAAAAGAATATGATTAGTGCAAAACGATAATCCGGGTATCGGAACTTGGTTTATTTGAAAACGCCTTCAAATGCGGAGTGAGGCTCTGAGCTCATGCTTCTCTTTTCTCCTTCCTCTTAATATGATCGCCAGTATAGCGCCTATTGAATATTTTTAAGGGGCCGTTCATGAAGAAAAAAACTACCCTCCCCCCCTTCACCACGCTGCCGTCACATTCACATAGGTTTAGAGGCTCCTCTGCTGAAAGAATTACGTCACTCTTTCTTAGATAAACCCCCCTTCTTCGAATGGGAAATTATAAACTTTATATTTTCACCAGGACTGTTGAAACAAGACCAATCTTGAGTTGTGCACACGTACATATTTTAAGACTAGTTTCGATAGTAAATTCATTTAGTATCGGGAGGAGGAGTGTAATCCAGATGTATTTTCAAATAATTTTTGATATACCTTGGTTGGGGTTTTTAAATTTCAAATCATGATGCCCATCAGTTTTTTTTTTTAAAAAAAAAGCGAGACTCATTGAAGTCTCAGTACTAGCTCGTTTAAAATTCATTAAAAAAGGCATGTGTTTAGCCGACCTACAATTCCTGCTACTTTTGTGCCTCACTATTTGCACCATAAAACTCAAGAGCCTATTATCTTACTATTTAAATTCAGGGATGCTCTGCAATAATCTTTTATTTATATGCCTTTAAATTCAATCATAGAGGGGCAAAGTCGAGGTGACAGCATTTTTCAGAAAAAAAGAAAGCAGACAAGGAAAATCATCTTAGAAAATAGGTAGGCTATCTGCTTTTTACCCACTGATTCAGAAAAAAGCTATGGATCTGATGGATGATTATTTAAATAAAAGAAGGTGTCCAATTCAAAATGAATAAAACAAAAATTTTTTGTAAAAAAAGTGGAAAAATATGGAATTTATTCATTACAAAAATCATATTCACAATGGGTCCATTTATTTTTACATTTTTACAAAACAGGCTTTTTATCATATGAAGCTAATTTTTTACAAAAATAAAAATCTTGGAACAAGCGTCTGCATGTTGTACAAAAATATATAATATTGACGACAAATGTTTAATCCTAAATGCGTAAAAAATATAATTCATTAACATTTTGTACTTTTAAAAAGGATATGGGTCCATCTTCAGTACCAAATTCATGCCCAAATGTTCAGACCGAGATCAAGTTAGTGTTTAAATTGAAATTAGGTACTTCAAGAGGGGGGAAAAATTGTATATTTAAGAGATCCCAAATTAAGTACACACTTCTCATAGGATAAAAATTATTACTGGGGATCAATGCTCTTCTTGGCTGATGTTGGTTGATGAGGAATGTATTGAGCAATTTGTTTGACAAAGGAGGTCTAGTTTACCCAACACTGCTTAGTCTTGATATCCATCAATCTTTGCAAGGCAACTGAAATGCTTCATGAGTTAATCATATATCAACAATAAGTAAAAAAGAATGCTGCACACTTGTATTTTTTTGCTTCGTTCTTGTTTAGATTGGTCAGGTAGCCGACGTAGCCGATGCATCGTCCCAATAAAAGTTCTCAGAAAGTTCTCAGAAAAGGACATTTTCATCACACTTTTTTAAGACACTAGTTTCTTTATGGAAGAGAGAGGAAGAAGCAAGTATCACATGATCAAAGTTTTTGCTAAATTGGTTTGTTCAATTTACGCCAGATTAAATGAGAGACCAAAGCTCCAGTTAATAAGACCGCAAGGACTGGGACACTCCTGGTGATCCACGCAGATTTTCTTTTGGCCTTCTTCAATGAATCCTGAAAAAGAGCAAGAAGTTAATACCTTTTCTTTTCACTTTGGGTAAAATTGATTGTGCTTCTTAACAGAACTTTTATAACATTTTGGAATTCCCTGATGGAGAATTTGCACACAAAAATTTTATTGCTCCATCTGAGAGTGCCTAATGAGCTGAGTCGCAGTATTTTTCATAATTTTTTTTTTACATGGAGAATTGTAGAACAATAGATTTAAAAAGGAGAAAAAGTGCCGCCTTATGATGTCGTCTGGCGGCATTCTTTATTTAGACACATGTATTTTAGCAGATTAGGTTATTTTGTTGTATTGTCTCCAATAATTGTTCAATTTAGAATCCAAGGATATCCTCGTACTCAGTTTCCCTAGGAGTATCATTTTAAAGATGAAATTCACAGAATTTCAGACACCTGCAAATTTTCTATTATTCAATAAATATTGCTTAGCCATAAAATATTGAAACACGATTGTATCTTACACTATGTTCAAAATTTCCTCTGGAACTTTTAATACCAGGAGGGTAGTGGCTAATAGGGTTGTGCTATCAGGTATTGGCAAGCCTACTAAAATGTCCTATACAAAATACTAACCAACAAGAGAATTTTTTCTAATAAATACCAGAATTTTTGCAATTGACATAACTGAGCTGCTGCTAACATGAATATCTCTTTCACAGTCTGCATAACTCAAAAGACACACGAATGGCAACAGTACACAGGATGGAAGTTCTCGTATGTCCACTAAGGCTGAAGGTCTCCTGGCAGCTTCATAGGAGCCATTAAGTGTTAAAGAAACATAATGTGCTAATCGCATCCCCACAAGGTTTTATTCATTTACATGACAATAAATGCTTGCGATTGATATATAGCAGGAAACTTCATCCTCTTGGCGGGTGGAATTCTGGACTCAGACGCATTTCATTCAAAAGGAATGAGAGCCTATGTGACATCAGTTGTGTCCTGTATATTTTCCTCTGGGTCTCAGAGCCCAGGTTGCAATAGAGATATTTTTCATTTATTAAAAAACTCCCAACTATCATAACGCAAGTGTATGACTGATGCGATGCAACTGACTTAATTGAGATTAATAAGTATAAAATTATAAACGTTCACCTCAGGAAGAAGACTGCAGTATTGCAGTCTCAGATCCTGGAGACATTTGATGGCTGCATTACTAAATGTAACTATTCCATCAGCAGCAGAGGCTTCAGAATTCAATGCGGTATTCCTAATTTCATTCTTCTTTCTTGTGGGATCTAGTTCTTTTATAAACAATTTCAGCACTGTCAGGTATTTGAATGAGTTGGTTAGAATTGCATCAGCTTCCTCTTTCCTGGATAAACAGAAAGGGACATTCTGTTTAAACATTTACAACAATCTGGCACATACAAATAAAACAAAATTATCGGTGAAATCTTTAACAACTTACCTCAACTGTGACACTTCAAAACGACTCTATACCCACCCAGCAACTGCCAAAGATGACGTTGTAAATTTGATGCCATAACTTTGCTACAAGGTTAATTTTAGAAATGCCGTATTGACAACATTACCTACTGCAATCACTTTTAGACAGGCGTATAGACTTTGATTTTTTTTTTGGAGGAAAAATAAAAAATAGATTTTGGTATCACGGTGCTTCAAATTTTCCCTGAATTTTCTTCAATACCATTCCATTCCAGGAGAAAGAGCAAAAACCAAGGACATAAGGAATTTGCACGGAACAAGGGTTTCCCTCCCCCTGGTAAGAATTTAATTATTTAGTTGGTATCCTAACTGTCCCAAACACATGACATCCTTCATTTAGATTTTAACCTAGATTTCAAGTGAAAGCCACAATATTTAGTCAAAGTATCAGTGTTAGTCAGAGCAGCAGACATAAGCAGGTAGTGCAAGATTTGACCATCAGAATGTTTTTCAATGGAGGTAGTGTTTGGCTGCATCTCTTTTAGAAACATCATAATATTTTTGGAGCTGACATAGCTTAACTATTAAGACAGAATCTAAAATTTTATGAAACATTTAGTATCTACCCTGATGAAAATTAACATTCTGAAGAGCAGTTTTGCAATACTAGTTAAACAGTTGAATTTTTACTGATATTAACTGATGGCAATAGAATATTTAAGTAACTAAGTCAGTTAATATCAGTACAAATTAAATTGTTTCACTGGAAGTTTCCTCCTGTTTTCCTGGCCATTTTATCCGAACGATCAGGTAAATTTATTTTTCCCCCAAAAATTTCACAAAATTTCAAACGACTCAGCACATAATACTTATCAAGAAATTTGGCCCAGTTAAATTTCGATATTATTTAATATGATGTTCCTTGAGACCTTTTGAGGAAAACTAGCTTTAGATATCAAACTTTCAGTGCACCAATTTTGTGCAAAGAGCGACTGAAAAGTGTAATTTTTCCCCCTCTTACAAGCGTTTTTAAAATGGGAATATGGGACTGTTATTATGTGTAAGGATGTTGCGCTGCAGACTGTTATCATTCGGAGGAATTGGATTCTTTTCATCTGTTTCATCATTTCAGAAAAGTCTTCATCAGAAAACAAAAAATCAATTTGATAACCATTCAGATGTTCCAACATTTCAGCTAGATATATTCCATGTAAAATTGCCAAAAAATTCACTTCCAGCCCCATTAACTTGCGATTGAAAGAAAGTAGAAATTTAAAATCCAAAATCTCATCATGGTTAGGAGGTTGTGAGGATCATTATATATGAAATAACATAAAGATTTACCCAGGAATTTCTTGGTAGGTATTGCGTGCATACCAAGCTCAGTAATTCTCTTAGATGGTGGAGAGCGGTAGAGAGCTGTAATTTGAAAAAACACTTGTGCAACTCACTTTAAAGGACGGATAGATTCGTTTTGAACTGCCATTGTGGGTTTTGTGGTTGCTTTCACCAGAATTTTACGGTGTTCTTCATCTTCAATGCCAATATTTTTCAGGTCGTCATTAGTGAGGGTGAAGAACAGATCAATGTCAATCCTATGCTTCCGGAAATTCTCATGATACTGCTTCAGCTGTAGCCCATCTAAAGACAGTTTGACATTTTTATCAAGTCCATCAATGGTTCTGGAACAAAAAAAGCAGATAATTTTTGGAGAATTTGAACCCGCTTCATGGTAACCTTTCTAAGTTGTCATTATTCTTTCGTTATGTCTTAAAAAAAACACAAAATTGTCATAAAAATTATAAGATTATACTCATGACAGAGGAGAGAAAAAAGAGTCAAATGGTTGTGCAAAAGTAACGATGAGTCTCCTTCAAAAAAGTAAAATGTGCATTGTATAGATCTTAGATTTGAGGGGCTTGGAGGACAGGGCATATATGTGCATTTTCTGAAAAAATTGAGGTATTCATGAACTCAACAAAAAACTAGTTTGAAAAGACATTCTGTGAAAAATTCACGGCTAAAATCCAATTTTAAATTTAAAGCATCCAAAAAGTGAGTTTAAACTTCCTTTCCACCATAAGACTCCAAGTAATTATAAAACTTTTAACATGTATTCCTTGAAATACCGAACACTGCACTTATGCGCTTTGTCCTCCAAGCCACTAATTTGTTGTTTCACAGCTGCACTGTGGACATAGACATACATCAGTCGACGGTTAGGTACAACTTGCAAGCTCAGCGAGTGTCCAGCCTCTGAAAACAGGTTAACAAACCAGAAACAGAGGTAATGACATAAGGAATGTAGCACAGCGCGTAAAACCATGTAAAACAAAACCAGAGTCCTGGTTTTGAGCATGAATGAGGAATTTAAGTAACAGATGCATTCATTTTCATACTTACTCCTCTTCGAACGATGAATTGAGCATGGTGTGAGAATTAGTGACAGAGTAGAAAATACTAGTAGAAAGTAGGGATAGAAGATTTGGCAGAGTATTCACTATGACGAGAAAGGACTGTCATGAATAAGAAAATACGAGCTGGATGATAATTAAAAATAATGTGGATCCATAACTCATAAACTCACGTCTGGGTTTAGTTCGATCGAACTGATGAAGTAAACAATAAAACCATACAATACAACGTGCCTGATAAGTGATAACAGGTAAGCCGGTTCAGAGGCGGGAAGCGGCCATCCACGGCTCTCTGGATGTCATCCGACATTGATGACGTCACTTAGAGCAAAAAAATTTGTTTCGATTTGAAATTTTTGATAATTGGGTTTAAATACGAAATTCAAATGTAAAACGGAGCGAAAAATTGAACGAATCCACCAAATTTTAATGATAGCTAATTTCTTTGAGTTATTTGCAGTTGACCATATTATCGTGTGACGTATGTTGAATCTGATTCCTTATCAGTTGTGTTCCAACCTTCTTCCTTCAACCTCAAAAGAGGCAGGCCGCCTNCCCGCCACCCCGGACAACCCTTTGCCATTATCTTTATGAATGTACTTGCCGTATAATTGTATAAATTTTAATTGTACATACATCATCCAAGTCCTGCCTCAGGCACTCGGATTAACAAGTAAATTATTACGTGCGGACTTTCGGCAGCCACCGACAGTGGATTCTTCCTTCAAAACATTATCAAAATATTGTATTGTCTACAAAGTGTTGCTCTTTCCCTTGCACACACCGCCATATTTAATATTTTAAGGTTAATTTACTGGCTGCAGTGTTTTGAACTCTTGAAGGGTTAGATTTATTTAGTTTCCTTCTCCTAAAATCCCTCAAGCAACTTTCGGCATTTGTCTGTTGTTTCGGTACTGTGAATCGTAATACTGTTTGTGCGTTTGTGTAAATGTCCGTAATATGTCTGTCGAATATGACGATAGTGGAACCTTGCAAGATGAACTACTGAACATTCAGAGTGTTATTTACTTAACCAGGCAGAATATCGATGCATTGAACAACAAGTTCGCCGACTTCCAGCACCCTCCCTCTATATACTTAGCAGAATATCATGAATTAACGAGCAAGTTGCACGACCTAGAGTTGAAAGAGCAACAATTAACAGAGCAGATCAGTCTGGGAAGATCCAACTCTCCAGATGTCATTGATAACAGTCACCATTCCAAAGATAAGTATGTTCAACCTAGTCTTCAAATTCCGCCGAAAAGTGTTATCAGGGCCCATCTCCCGAATCAGCAAAGGACAAGTGTGCCTGTGAGACCAGGCCAGACACTGCGCGAGGCGTTAGCAAAGCCGATGAAGCTCAGAAACTTGACTCCCGAAATGTGCACTGTATGCACTCTTGATAATATCAATCTCTCTTGGGACGTTGATAGTTCGAAAATAGACTGTGATGAAATTAGGGTTGAAATAATCGACAAGTTTCCAGTTACAACGAGCATTTCTCATAATTTTGGGAGGAAAACTTTTTTCTCTCTTGCATTTTGTGAGGTGTGTCGTAGGTTGCTGTTTCAAGGGTTCTATTGCAGAACCTGTGGATATCGTTTTCATCAAAGATGTGCTACCGGAGTACCTGCTTTATGTCAGCAAGTTCACATGGAAGACACTTATTATCAGCATTTGTTAGCCTTCAACATGATCAATGATGATGCCTCAGATGCTGGTATTTTACAGCTACCGTCTAGCTTTAGTATGACCAGAACTGGTTCTCGGAGACATCCACGAGCATTAGGACATGGAGAACGCTCTAGCTCTGCACCTAATGTATGTTATAACCTCGTAAATCCAACAGGGGATGTTGCCTCTCTGAAACAGTTTGTAAATTTGACTGTAATGAATGGCAGTAGACTGTCCCATAGTCAGAGTGCCCAAGCTTCACCAACCAATGCTTTGCGTCCTTGGCGACCCCGAGCTCGAAGTGCTGATGATAGTGCTAACAAAAAAATTCACCGAGAAGCTCCTCGTGAGTCAATTGAAGACTGGGAAATTCCTGCTGAAGAAATATTGTTTGGACAACGAATCGGCTCTGGATCATTTGGAACTGTCTACCGATGCCATTGGCATGGACCAGTCGCTGTCAAAACTCTGAATGTAAAGGATCCCACTCCAGCCCAGCTGCAAGCCTTCAAAAATGAAGTTGCTGTCCTTCGCAAAACACGGCATCTAAATATTCTACTGTTCATGGGCTGTGTTAGTAAACCTCAATTAGCAATTGTGACCCAGTGGTGTGAAGGATCTAGTTTGTATCGCCATCTTCATGTCCTAGAGACATCATTTGAGTTATTGACCTCGATAGAAATAGGACGTCAGACTGCTCAAGGAATGGATTACCTTCACGCTAAAAATATCATTCACAGGGATCTAAAGAGCAACAACATATTCTTGCATGATGTGACTGTGAAGATAGGAGATTTTGGACTTGCAACTGTCAAAACTAGATGGTCTGGTGGCAAACAGTTCAGGCAGCCATCAGGCTCAATTCTATGGATGGCACCAGAAGTGATCAGAATGCAAGATGAAAACCCTTATAGCTTTCAATCCGATGTTTATTCCTATGGAATTGTTCTGTATGAATTATTGTCCGGGCAGTTACCTTATCAAAACATAAACAATAAAGATCAGATCTTATTCATGGTTGGACGGGGGTATTTGCATCCAGATTTGAAAATGATACCCTCCTCTGTACCAAAAGTTCTCCGCCGGTTGTTAGAAGACTGCATTAAACACACACCTGAAGGGAGACCTCTATTCAGACAGATCCTAGAGACTATAGAAAGTTTAATTCAAGCAATGCCCACTATTCATCGTTCTAAATCAGAGCCGACACTGAATCGCCAGGCAATCTCAACTTCAAATGATGACTATGCATTTAGTTGTAACTCGCCCAAAACACCTGTCAACTCTCAATTTGGCGCATTCCCATTCACTTCAATGGGTGGAATAATCTAACGAATTTACAATATTTCTTTTCAATGTAAGTATAACAACATATACTCATTGTCTCATTTATTTTCCTTTTTAATTAATTCTTTTTAACCTTACAAAAGGTTAAATGACCTTATCTGCTCCCGCTTTAGGTCAAATTTCTCCCACAAACACAAGCACTTCTCACAGGCAGGGGTATGAATTTTATTTTCTTTCCCAGCTCGTCATAGATTGTCAGATTACCTAGCTTTGAAACAAACTTATTTTCTAGAAACTTGTAGAAATGGGAAACATGTATGGTGACTAAAGATTGACAATACTTCAGCATGCTTCAACCTTTTCCCATACCTACATGCAGTAGAGTTATGTAGATTTTCTTTTTCTCTCTAGAAATTTGGCACATTGTTTCAAAAGTCTTGAAGTTTTGCTCATGAGTGAATCATGAAACTTTTGATAAAAACCTGTCAAGAAACTTATCATATTTAGAGGTTTCCTAAATTTCCTCCTAATGTACAGTGACTCACATTTTCTGCATACCCTGTGATACCAATTTTTTTAAAAAATGAGCACCCAAGTTTTAATGCTAGGCTGTCAGTTATTTTGCTAGGTTCCCAGAGAAAAAATTGAGCCATGGAAACTGCATGTTGAAATTCGTATTTCTTGTGTAGTTAAAATTCTGATTAGATTTAGTGGGATGTGTAATGAAGTATAAGACACAGGGTTTATCAAGAATACCTATCTGTTTATTCACGAGATCAAGTTGAGATCATGTAGATACCAAAGAGCTAGATCATGACTGGTCCGCCATGCTGTCGTTGCCATGTTGTCCATTATGTCACAGGATGTAACTGTCAACGAGCTGGCAAATATTTTTCCACCTGTGTATCCACTAGTTTTAACACTTGGTAAAAGTTGGTCACTGTTCCTAATAAAATACTTGAAAATTGAACATTTCAAAGGAGGTGCTGGTATTAAGAAGCAAGCCATTGAAAGGGATGCTAATTTTAAATTGAAGTGGATTCCTTAGGAATTCCTCTAGTGAATTCCTCTACTGGATGGAAAAGTGAATGACATATTTGTAATTGATAGGTGAACGAATATAAAGTTTAAAAATTTCCTCGAGTTGTAAGGTCCAGTCAATGAAAAGTTGATGTGAGGAGAGATAAAAATAGAACTTTTATTTTTTAAAATTTTTTTTCTTAAACACTTCGTAACATTTTTTTTTTTAAATCACCAACATCAATTTTTTTTAAACTAGCTTGTACCTCTCTCATTTACCAAAATTTCTGATTGTTTTTCTAAAGGGATTAAATACCCTCATCTAAAAAAATCTGCATTACCTACATAAAGTATCTATCATACCTGTCTTAAAAGTTTATGAACATTATTTAATCTTGTATCCATTTTCCTTTTTTATGTAATTATATATTATTTCTTCTTTTTTTCACATTCCAGGTGTCTACTGAGCATTGATTCAATTCGCCACAGCTTTGGTCATTGTTCTGGGATTGTGCAGTCGAAGCCTCTAGTATGCTGAATCTTATCATCACGATAGTGAGTCCATGGCTGGCTCCTCATTTTACTCAAGAGAGGGTATGTTTCATGCCCATTTTAAGATTGTCTCAATCGGTAAGACAAAAGTTTAATTCAATTCTAAAAACTCTCTCTTGATGCAGCAACTCCCTAGTGAACTGACTTTTCAGAATGCTTGCGTTGTTCACCTTCATATTTAGACCACATTTAGAAAAAAAGCGCCACATTTTTGGTTCACCTTACAAAGGACATATATATAGATTTTCCTTAACGAATAGTGGCTCTGTAATTGTGTCCATGTACTTGGTTCTGTTCTGTTGAAGTCAGTTCAATTGGACAGTATCAAATAGAAAGGCCCACCTGAAAAGAGAGTTACAGAAAAATGCATGTCAGCACTCAGCAGTGAAATTGCAAAAATATGAAGCTAGTTCGCGGTGTTTCAAAATCTCTGTACCTATTTCATTTATTAAAAGGAGACCAAACCATCTTGATACGTTGAAATTTTCACAGAATGATCTTCATGTAGAGAAGAATAATTACCAAAGTTTTCAAGTAATGCAATTCAGTAGTATTTCATGAAGTATGACTGGAAGTCTGCAACACTGCAAGCCAAGATGTGCATTTCTGAAATTTTACCATCAATATCTCCCATAACACAGTTAAGAACTATATGCATGTTGCTTTTCAAAACTCTCTTTCATATACAGATTCCTTGTTTAAGGTACTTAGTATGTCTTTAAAGCAGGGAAAGATCAAGAAGCCTGAGGAAAAAATTTTCTTACAAATTCTGAGGAATTTAATTTGAAAGATTTAATATTCCTCCCCTTCCTCCATTCTCTTCATTTTTGGGTTAGCAGTTACTAGGTAAAAAGACATTCTGGAAAATGAAACTTCTCATTTGAAGGAAAACTAAGCATAATTTGGTATTTTTTGAAACCAAATATTAATTCGGTAAAAATCCCATTTTCCCCTTCATGCATGTCAGATTGCTCAATGCAAAAAGTAGGAAATTGTCTGGAGGAATTGTAGGGCTGGTCAGATGGCCAAATCAGAGCTAGGCAAGGTTAAGCAGGTTAGACATCTATTAACATACTTCATCATGATAGGATGACAACAAAACAGACCCGTACGGCGTTTATCTGTGCATTCAATTCAAGCATCAGTCAGCATTCCTCATTCCATCAAAGTCTTGAGAGCCTCTTTCATTCAATAGAATACCTACTTGAAAACATTTTTGGAAGACCATATGTTTTGTTGGTAATGTAATTGAAAACTTTAGATTTTTAAGAGCCTTTTTTACTCTCGGAAAGAAAAAAGTATTAAACTCTACTAGAGATTCTTCCTGCAGTTTTTAGATCATGGCCTAAATTAGAAGTTTCACTGATGAAAGCCTGATGTAAAATGAACCAACATGAATGTGGTTCAATGTTCGATTAAATGGAAGATCTGCTGTTTTTTTATCATAGTTTTTCCTTATTAATTTAATTTTGCATCTGATCTCTAAGTAACATGAGAAAACAGATGGGGGGATGAATAAAAATGTTGTGGTTTAGTTGTGAAGTAGGCATGTGTTGTTTTTCTCTGAAATTTTTTTTAATTTAAACCCCCTTTTCTTCTCATGAGCTCTTGCACTTCAGTAATTCATCTTTTGTTCATTGTGAATGATTTTAATATCCGTCGGAAGCAGAGGATCTATTTTTGGTAATGGTATTACAAGAAGAGTTATATTTTCATTGGATGAGCGATGAAAACTAAGCCCTAGAAATTCATCTACATTTGCAAGCCAATAAAGAAGGTATAATTTGAGGTTGAAATCAGAGGACCCATTTTTTATTATAATTTACTAACTATCCTAGCATCAAAATTTCATGAAAGAATGCAAATTACAATTTAGGAATTTAGTTCATGGACTTATTAAGTACATTTCTCTCTGAAATGGTAGAAAAAGAGCTAAAAAGATTTTAAATATTATTATTATAGAATTTTTGTTTCTCCATCCTCCTGTAAAAAAACTGTTGAGGTACCTATCCCCAAAACGTAATTATGTTCAAAAATATGTATTTATTCACACTTTATTAAAATTGGAGAAGCAGCTCCTCCCAGAAAAAGTGCCTGAAGGCCAACTAAGTAACTGGAAAATACGGTCCTGTTTTTCGGTTATCATTGACTCTTACATTTTGGTTGTTAAAGAAAAGTATGTAAATTTTTTTTGTCTAATTATGGCTGTAGGTCAGATGCGTTAGAATTGTTCCTCAAAGGTGAACCCCTCTAAAAATGTAAAATAATGAGATCTGCTTGAGGGCCAAGTTTTCACGCTCAATATGGCAGCAGACATTGTCCTCTCGAAAGGATGGTGGTTCACATGGTTCATCTACCTTTGGTTTTATCAGCCAATGAAGTTTTTGCATGCAGTTGGGATTTTCGATTTAATGCCCTTATAGTATTTTACGATGGCACCCTGGACTTGATCACAAATTAATGCAAAAGCAGTCAGCAGTTGATTTTTTGGGTGAAAATAAGACTTCTTTTTTGATGTGGGATCTGAAAAATAATCTTTCTGATGGAATGAACTTGAATAAACCCATGAATTAACAGTCCTCAAAAGTCGCAAAAATGCATCTCTTTTTCGTCTTCTTTTCTTTTAATATTGAGACAAAATTTTGTGAATCAAGTTAAGTATAAGAACATCTACACACTGAGGCAGTTTCAAGCTGCTTGATCGTTTTTTATCCTTAAAAATAGAGGGAATATTAATTTCGTGGCGGGAGAGGTTGGTAACATGATTTTTTACCCAGAAGCTTGGCAATCTCAAAGTGCAANATCCCCCCCCCCCAAAAAAAAAGAGAAAAAAAACACTCACAAAATGGGGTTTGACTCATTCGTTGATAAAAAATTATAATATGAGGTTATGAAATGTAAAAAAATACATTTGGATAGAGCTTTGAAGCTCAGGCCAGGAATTAGCGATTTCAGTACTGACTCCTTTGGAAAATTTCGCGAGAAACACGGTGGTGTCAACGGTTGTTGCTGAAATCAACTCCAAAGCTCAAAGTAAGTTGAGGCTGTAATAGAGGGGATACCCAGCGCTACCCTGAAAATTCGCCCCTATATTAAGACCAACTCTCTATGCAGAGATAGGGAGCAAGTACATTAACATTATTTCCCCCCCTATCTTTGCATGAAGAATTTGACAAGACATGAAGGTGGACTTTCAGGGTAGTGTATGGAATACCCCTTCCGTCACGGCCTTAACTTTGAGAGCTTTTTTTCAGCTTTGGATTTGATTTCAGAGAAAACCAGCGGCACCATCGTGTTTCTCGCGAAATTTTTCGTAAGTATAAGTACTTCAATGGCAAATCCCCTACGCATGAAAAAGCTCGATTGTCTGTGAACTTTCAGAGTTGGTGCTGTGGATGCACCAAGTATGAATTGCTTATTGCTACAGTGGTAGCTTTTGTGGCTACGGCACAGCTGTTTGAACCGTGAGGGTACTCAGGTACAACTAACTGAATTACGGCTGCTTTGTAGCTTCAGCCTTGGCTGAACCACTGGCGGAGTCCACGACACTAGCTGTGAAATTTTTGAGAATCATATTAACACAACTCCTAAGTACTCTGTCTAAAGACTGAGGTTCTACCAAAAAGGCCTTCTCTGTGAATGATAGTTTCTTACTTATGAGTTTTTGAACATTTTGATACCTACCAAACTTTTTGTGAAATATTGATGAGAATTAGCTTAGTGTAGTGCTTTATTTCTTCTCCTGTATAAGTATACTGGTCCATTCTGATCCAGGAAACAAAATTAATCTTCTCTTTTGCGGCCCCCAGGCCAATTCAAACATGGTCCAACCAGTTATCTTGATCATTGGTTTTTTTCACGAAGTTAATAATACCCTTGAACATTCAATTTGTGCTGTTATCATCATTCTTTGTATGAGGTCAAATTCCGCATTCATATTACCTAACCCTCGAAGTTTACGACTCAGAAAGATGAAATTAAAAAAATATCATACTGTATTTCTAATTAATACTTATTTTAGCTTTCATTTTATCTTGTTCCTCTTGATTCAATTTTATATCTCAAAGGCTGTCCTGTAACTAATTTTGTGCAATTAATGTCCATCTGTTGGAAGTGAAGATTGTTTTAATTTGTAACCACTGTACATTCTTGTTGTAAATACTTGTAAGAAGTCAAGTTTTGTAAAAATGATTGCTTGTTTTTAAGCACCCGTTCGATCATTATTAAAGTCTTTTTGTTTATATCAAAAACAACGTTTTATTAGCTGTGGTCTTAGTCTTATCTTTCAAATAATTCTGTAAATTTAAAAAAAAAAAAAAAAAAAAAAAAGAGAGAGAGAGAGAGAGAGAGAAGAAGAAGAAGAAGCTCGTATACTAAGTACCATTTCAACTGGATGAGCACTGAGCAGTGTCAATCACTAACGCATTTATTTCTATTCAACATTATGTGAGAAACACCATGATGACCTCAATTCCATTAAAATCAACTTCCAGGCTCAGAAGAAAGCTCTCAAAGTTGAGGCCATTGTCATTGTCTATTACCTACAGGACATCATTCTGAAAGTCCCTCATGTGCAGTCTAGTTTACATACGCAAATACTCTGCTCTCAATGAAAGTTTTATGTGTCCATTGAGAAGATTATAAGGTACGGGCAACGAAAGTAAAGAGTTAATTTTATATTCTGAATAATCACCAATCATGCATAATTCCACCTGTTCCTCCAGGTCAAGGTTCAATTTCATGTGTGTAGAACTTTAAATAGATGCAGAGTGAAGACATTTTTTAGCCGTCCCATTTTAAAACCCCCTTTTCTTCTTAAAGTTTTTAAAGCTAAGATTTTTGTTTGGACTGCGCCAAAAAGAAAGAAACCAGCCATACTTACCATTGCCAACTTAAATTCGGCAATTTAATTTTTTACTTGAAAACGGTTGTGCCGATTTGTGTGCAACTTTAAGTGAATTTTCTGCAAGTACGAAGCAATTTTTCTAACATTTTCAAAGGAATCCGCACAAACGTTCTCATGGAAAAATTCGAATTTCCCAGTTAAATTTGGCAATAGCTGGCGTGGCTTTGATTCCTACTGCTAAATGGATACATTTAGCAGTAAGGAACTACTATCTCTGGCTCTCCCATAAAAGCACATATCTGCATAGGGAAACAAATGGCATGGATGTTGTTCCTAAAATGAGTCAGAAATAGTGGTTTCTTCTTGCAAAATGTAATCCAAATGCGGTCCGTATTGTCCTTCATTCACAAATCGCAGCGATTTTGCGAAGAACTCGCGGATGCCACCGGACTACTACGAAAAATACGCTGATTTTACTGCGATTTATAAAAAACCACGCAATTCTAACGCCACACAGTGGCTTAGTGGTTCTTTTGGAGAGGTCATTAATGATTTTCTTAAATATAACTGCAAATTTGTATGTTTATATCGTCGCAATTTTAATTTTACAGGGTGACTTTTGAATAAAATTTTAGGAAATAACCTACAGAAACATTTTTAAGACCTCAACGTTTTGTACTATCGGAGTTATAATAAGCTTTTAAGTAAAGTTTCCACTTTTCTTCAGACCTCTACCATCGACTTTTGTGCGCCATTGCGAGTTGGCCTTCCCATTTTTCACAGCTTTCCCATTTTTTTTTCTCGCGAGCGGGCACGCCATCATAATCCTGTGATCGGGAAGTTTATCAGTCTGCACCTCTGAATAGATGTAACAGTGGCGTGGCGTCCTCTGCGATTTATCGATTAATCTGCCATTTAAATCTATGGAAAAGGATCGCTTATCAAGGTATTCGCAGCGAATACCTTAATAATCGATATTTTACTAGATTCAATGAGGAGCTATCGATAATCGATCATTCACGCCACGCCACTGAGATGTAAATACTGTCGTGCTAAGGAAGAATGCCGGATGAGCATTCAAATGGTGCCAAAGAGCCCCTCAGAAAAGATGAATGTCTTTGAAATTTTCAGAACTTTTAGATCAAATCACGAACAAAATTCATCAAAAAATTGGAAGACAAAAGTTTACAAATATTCCTGAAATTTCAAGATTTATCGAAGGAGATTTGGCAACGCCTGGAGGCTCATACGGCGTTCTTCCTTAGCACGGCAGAATAGAAGACACGAAGAAATGAAAGCATCGAGGGATGATAATTTATTAATAAGTAAATGATTCAATTACGAGGGTATATATTGAGCAACTTTTCGGTACAAGGTACAGCAGCGGAGATCAAACAAGGAATATTGGATAAATTGCAAATAGAATAAAGCCAAAATAGAAAAAGGAAGTAAACTATCAAAAAATTACTTTCATTGTAATGGCATTACATAAAGTTACACTACGGAAGTTTCCTTAATGTTGATTTCAAAATAGTTATCATAGTAAGTAACAGGAGAAAATAATCGTAACAACGACAGCAACTACAACTGAGGGGCTTGGAGGACAAGGCGTTAAAGTAGGTATGTGCAGTTTTGACTATTTCGAGAAATACGTGTTCCAAGTTTCGAAATTACGCAGATCCTTAAAGCGGAAAGAAAGCTCAAACTGACTTTTTGATGCTTAGAAATTGGAATTTGGGAGCGAATCTTTCACAAAGTATGCATTAAGACTAGTTTTATTTGAAATCGTTAATAGGTATACCTACCTCCCCTGGTAAAAATTGGCGATAGGAGCTGCGTTTCAAAATACCATAGGAATTCTTATAGCCGGCTAAAGAAGGCAATAGAAAATCATATAGCTGGCTGTAGAAAGCGGAGCAAATCATATAGCCGGGCTATACGAAGCGATGAAAAAGTATGCAGCTGGGCTATAGTTCCTATCGCCGGGCTTTACACTTTATCGCCATCGGCTATAAAAGGCCATAAGAAATTGTGTAGAAATTCGTGTGCTTTGGAAATCATTAAGTTTGATACGGAGCTAACATAATATTCACAAAACACACTTTATATTTTCCTTTAATACATATTTTTTTTCATCAATTAAAATGAGAATAATCCATACAGAATGTGCAAACATTTCAAAATCAGGAGTTGAAAAACGCTGACTCCGCAAGATTATATTGGAGCATAACACAGAGCGGAGCGGCGTGCTGCCAGCGATAAGCGCGCACCAGCGCCTACAAACCTATCTGGGATACTTCACGCATGGCGCAATGCGTGAAGTATCCCTGTTAGGTTTGTAGGCGCTTTTCGCGCTGGTTGCCCGCCCGCCGCGCCGCGCTGCGCCGCAGCGTGCCACGGCGCTTGAAGCAACTATCCACACCAGAGGTATTGCACAGTATCATACAAAATTGAAGGCGCTCCAACATAATAGGAATGGCAGGCATCCTTCAAAAGTACGGAGCTTTCCGCGCAAAATAAATCAAGATACTACGGCCCAAAAATAGAGCGGTAGTCCAAAAACTCACTAAGTCCTAGCATCCGTAACTAGTAACATGTAGCATACACTTTATCGCCTAGCTGTTGCTCAATCGCCATCGGCTATAAAAGGCTGTAAGAAATTGTGCATCCGGCTGTAGAAGCTATTGAAAATCTTACAGCCGGCTTTAGGTCTATGGTATTTTGGAACACAGATTCTACTGCCAATTTTTACCAGGGTCAATTTTTAAAAAAATTGCACTTATGCGCCTTGTCCTCCATGCCCCTCAACTTTAAAATAAACTTAAGTACCAACTTATAATTCTTACGTTCATACAAAATTGAGCTTACTTTTGATTACAGCCATGGTTATAAGAGCATCAAATGGTATGTTTTTGCATCAAGAAGTTACTTGCGAATATTGTTTTTGGTCTCTTCTGAAGTATGCGCTCAGAAATATGCATGTAGGAAACCGGAGAGAATGTAGGGATACTAGTTTGAAAAAGAAATAAATAGCGCTACCAAAAACCATTCAATATTCTAATGAAAGTGAGATAGGTCAAGGAGTTTTTACCTTTCCTTTAGGTAGACTTCTTTTGTATAGGTACTTATCGCGAACGATTCGCAAGTTTTGGAGAATTTTGCAAAGAAGTTGAGTATCAAATTTTCCCCAAAGTATTCTTATAAGTAACTCCAATTATAAAATACGATGCATTAATGCAATAGTTAGAGTCTCCCTACATTTTGCGTCGTAGATAGGTACCATATATTTGCATGATAATGCGTCCATATGTTACGTATAATGATCGTAAGATGCCCACTAATAAAGATAATTTTCTAAAATAAAGACATCATCACTTATACTTTTGAGCTCACAATCAGATGTAAATTGATATAAAAAATTGCCGTTTATTTTGACAAAAACACGCACCTCAATTGGCAATACTGGTAATTATAACAAATTTCATTTTTGGAAATAGATACCGACAGAAAAGGTGAGAGGTAACGCGTAAGGGGCTGAATTGCATTGCAATGCTGGCTAAGTTTTATCATTTCGATGGCTGAGGTAAAAAAATGCGTAGCTATTCCAGATTGCGTAGTCGGAACACTGTGCCCATATTTTATTTTTTAATAGTGCACCTAACCGACAAATTCTTGAAATTTTCCTTGAACATCCTTCAATATTCATAAATATTCAGTTATATTCAAAACCTCAAAGAGATGCTTTGGTCAGTTTTTTACAGGTATGTATATATTAACATAATTGGAATTTTTAAACGCATTTTTCAACTATTAGCCATTGATTTGAGAATTCCTTAATACCTGCAAAGACGGATGAAAGTTTTCTTTTCTAATTTTTTGTGCATTAATTTTCTGTGCGATTAGACGAAAATTTCCTGAAATTCCCTTGTGAAACATGCATTTCCGTCAACGAATAAAAAAAAAGTTGTCATGCTAAACTTTGCAATACATAATGCATTTAAGCCTCTCTCTCTCTGGCTCACAATCCTTTCATTCAATCTACGTTTCATTTTTTAAATCTTCGTGTAATTTCCTCTTCGTCATAAATTCTCCTGTCATTTTCTATTTATCGATTCTTTTGAACACATGGAATTAGAGTAAAAATACAAATGAAGAGTAAGTAATCGAGGTACGTGTTTTTACAGTTCGCCATCGATTCATTCAGCTAAGCGCTAATTTTATTAATACAGGGTGATCCAGAGTCAAACGGCCCGACTGCAGGAGCGTGTTCTATGGGTCAAAATAAGACTTTTTTGTTGTATAAAGTTTTTTTCTTCAAAAAGTGCCCGCAGTCGCATAGAGTACGCTCCTGCAGTCCGGCCGTTCAAACTTGGATGTCTACAAAATCGAAAAATCACCAGGGTCGAAATGAGACTTGCCAAAATGATAACGGCGGATTGAATACCTACTACTAATCGGATTTTTTAGAATTTTTTGATTGGTTAGAATTGCGGCCTAAACTGACGCCGTCAGTTTCATCGAGAACTGGAGGTAAGATGTTTTGCTGGAACTGACCGCTGGTGTTTCCCGCGGGGCTGTAGTTTGCCACAACAATAATCTTACCGGATCTGCTCTGCGCTCTGCCGACACCCAGATATCTCGTATTGGCCCAAACTAGCTGAGTGAAATGTCCTGCAATAAAGAACATAATTAATGTCTCCCTCTCTACCCACCCTGCCATTCTGCCGTGCTAAGGAAAACCGCCGTATGAGCCTTGAGGCGTTGTCAAACTTCTCCTGGCAAATCACTAATTTTCAGGAAATTTTCTGAATGTTTGTCTACCAATTTCTCAGATAATTTTGTTTGTAATTTAATCTAGTGCGTCTGCAAATTTCAAGGAAAAATATTCATGATTTGCCTCAAAAATAAACATTTTATCGAAGGAAATTAGGCAACTCTCGAATGTTCATACGGCGTTCTTCTTTAGCACGGCAGCGTTGCGGTCGTAGGGGCTGAGGGACCGTTCAAGTGTTGCGTCAGGCATTTCGTCGAATTTTTGATCCTCCTCCCTTTTCCCCTTTTTAAGAAAACAATTTACCCCCTCCCCCTGCCGAATAACGTGTAAGACTGGCTTGAATCCCCCCCGCCCACAATTTTTCAGAAGGTATCGAGGAAACCTGTAAAATAGCTGAAGAAACTTGTTTTACTGGAAAATATTTTTTTTTGTGAGAGGCATACGTAAGACTGAGCTCGACCCTAGTTCCCCTATATACCCTCGTAAAAATCCTACAGGCAGGCTTAGGTCCCTAAATCCCTTAAGCAGCTCACATAATACTTAAACGGTCCTCAATATTGCAATAACTATCACCAGGCCGTATTAATAGTCCAGTCAATCTAGCATTTTTCTGGGAAAATCAATGTATCGAAGAATTCTTTGCGGGAACATGTTGCAATAGGCCACCAAAGCAACGTAGCAAAAGTTTACCGGAATAGGCTGTCCAGTGTCCACGCGCTAAGGCCATCATCTCGCAAAAAGGTGAGATGGGGGACCAAAATGCGACCGGTTTTTCGCTTATATCTAAGAAACAATCAGTCCTACGGGAAAATGTCATCGGACCTTCTATTATAAAGTGCAAATATTTTCCTAAGAGAAGCCCTATGAAAGAATTAATTTGTGACTTCCAGTTTGTGAGATATTGCGGTAGTTCTCTGCGACTGAGAAAGTCGAATTTTGCACACAAAAAGGTCGCGCTTTTCTCACAGAATCTGCAATTATGTTGAAAATGATGATTTTGAGGAAACGAATTATTCTTATTAAAATGGAAGAGCATCAAATCATCGTTTCTAATCTCGCCGAACATAGTGCGCCGCGCCGCGCCGGTCGGTGCGACACGCATATTAGCGCCTACAAGAAAGCAGGAATACTTCTCGCATTGCGCCTAACACGGTGCGGTCGCTGGTCGGCGCGGACGGCATATAAGCGCCTACAAGACTTCAGAAATACTTCACGCATTGCGCCTGACACGGTGCGGACAGCATTGAAAGAGGGTATACGTGGACTTCATACTGAAGGACGTGTAAAATTCTCAGGCTGCATCAGAGACAACGATGGTTTCAAATAAGGACTTTCTTAACTTATGGTTCAATCATTGGACTCACTGTGGAAATTCAATATGTTTCTACCCTCTTCGTTTCTCTTGCTTTTTTGCATGAGCGGAAAAGTTTTGAGTAACAAGATGCGGTAGTATAATATTTTTATCGGCAGTTATCTCTCTTTTTGGTCTTTGACGAGGAATATATCGGTCTTAAAAGTGGGAAGCAATATTCACAGTCCTCTGAAGCAATTTTTGGGTCAACTCCTTTCGTCTTCTCAACCATTTGCTTCTTTTCCTTGCACAAACAAATCGAAGAAAAAATTAATATTAAACATTATTTTGCTAAAAGCGTACCTGCGTTTACGTTCGCATGCAATACGTCCGGCTCTTTACTGAAATCGTACTGTTTAACAGCACTGTACCAATAACTCGAAACTTCTTGACCTGCAAAAAAAAATCACGAATCGAGCAAGAAGGTATATAATATCTTTTGCGTGGATTTCTTTATGTAGATAAGTGGACCTTTGAAATGTTCAAGTGATAATTCACTAACACAAAATATCTGCTCCTTATTCGTGTCATTTTTGACTTCGTTTTACGATTTTTAAACCGAAATTGTCGGAATGAAATGGTGCCTAAGTAAGAGGTTAAGCGTGAAGCAACGCATATGTCGATAAAGGAGGCTCATGAGCCGCCATGATGTGCGTAACGTCATTAATCGCAATTGGACTACATTTTGCCATTCGAGACTACAAAATCGGGCTCATTTCAGAAACAACGTATGTAACATTAGTTCTCCAATGCATATAAGTGTTTTTACGAATGATCTAGAAATTTTCGTTCCTAATTGCAAAATGCGGCCCAATCAATGGATATAGTCACCATGTAGCAGAAACAGAAAATTTGAGATGCTTGTTAACATCTGAGCAGCTGTATACTTGTAAACCTCTATTATAGTCTAGGTACTTTGATCAATCTCGTCAAAACTACAAACCAAAGACTCAATTAATACGTGCAATATTTGAATTCAAATTCAAAATTATTAAATTTCAAAGAGGCAATTCAATATACGGCAAAGCATTTTCTAATCATGAAAAATATAAAAGTAGAAAGTGAGTAGATGCCATTTTATGATATAAATTTACAAGGAATCTGCCACGCTGCAAATAAAGCTTGCTGGAGTTTGGCCGTAAAAAGTGGGTAGATATAACCAGCGCTAAGCTTCCATAACTTAGACATTGACCATGTCTGTCCGTATTATTAGGTTGCTCAGTGCGCACATAGGAATATCAGCGGTACCCGAATTATTCAATTTTTTAAATAATTCAATTAAATCCATAACAATGTACACTTGTTCAAGCATAGCATTGAATAAATCTCACCCTACCCTATTAAAAGTGAATACGTCTGACGACGGGCTACGTGTCTATAAACTACCCCGAGTCTGACTGATGTCAGCCTGAATCAGTCAGACTCAGGGTGGTTTATGGTTTATGAAACAGTCTGACGTCAGGCTGTCTCATTTTTACTAGGGAGATAAATTCCTAGAAATCCAAGGCGCTGTTGCAACAGAATTCGAGAAGAACATTAAACTGCATGGAGATGTGGGTATACATATAGAGTACAAGCGCTGTGTGGAAAGAAAACACTCACATCACCTACTGGAAACATTTTATCCGAGAAGGGAGATAAATTTACGTTAAAACCCCACGACGAAGTTTATCTTGAATTAGGGTAAGCCATTAGAAAGTGGGAGTTCGAGAAATTGGGGTAAAAGAAAAGCGCGCAATTTAGATCGCCGTTTCTGCGAGGCAAACTTTCCTCAACTTTTTCCGTCCATTGTATTTTATTTCTTGCATCGGTCAGCAAGTTAATCGGAGTCAAAATACACGGGTGTTAAGATGCGCTTAAATGTATGACGTTTTGCGAAACTCCATGGGAGATACAAACTATTTTTAAAGAGTAAATAATAGTTGCTATCATTGGCAATATCTTATCTTACTCTATGATATAAAATCGGAAGCGTAACGGCGCACAGTGGATCGAGTCAATTAGAGAGGTTGGACATAAAAAGTTTGACTAAAACTGCAAATTTTGATGTTTATTCAGTCACATTTCATGTTTCGAGGGGTGCTTTTCGAAGAAAATTTTACGAGGAAACCAATGGTACCACTTTAAGAACCTCAAAGTTTTGTAGAAACGAAGTTAAAAGCGTTTAAAGTTTCCAAATTTTGTCCGAACTCTCCTATTGACTCGATCCACTGTGCGGCGTGGTGCGTAATGCATACCGCCTGAGACGATCGCGAAGCGGTCACCAGGTAAATATATATAAATTACTACTATATGAATTGATTCACTTATTATTATTTTTAAAATTATATCTTATGAATAAAATCCATACAAAATTTATGTTACATCTAATTTTTATCTCTATCAACTTCTATGAGTGTTCTAGATATTTCTTGTAAATTTTGTATATTTAAGGGGCTTGGAGGACAAGGAGCATAAATGCAGTTTTTGAAAAAATTGAGATAATAACGATTTCACGTAAAACTAATGTTAGTTAATGCATTTTCTGTGAAAAATTCGCTCCCAAACTCAGATGTTGAAGCGTCAAAAAGTCAGCTTGAAATTTTTTTCCGCTATATGGATCACGTAATTTCACAACTTCAAACACGTATTTCTCGAAATAGGAAATACTGAACTTGTGCGCCTTGTCCTCCAAGCCACTAAAGTTGAATCCTCTGCTTGACTGACAAATCTCATTCAGTACAAATACCTGCTTACTCATGCCATTCGCTGTGCCTAATTTTTGCCGAAGAAATTTCAACAAATATGATCAGCGGTGAACAATACAAACTGCATAACGTACCTGTGACGTCACTTTCTAAGGCATTTGTCAGGCGATAGAATAAGTTTTGACCAACATCCCGATCGATTCGATAGAAAAAGCTGTCCGTGTGAGCGAGGTGGTTAGCCCAAGCTTGAGCTTTTTCACAGAGCTGGAAAAACGAAGAAAATCGTTTTATTGGCCCTTTCTGAATTATCCATGACTCATGAGTGTGACTTTTTCTCAGAATACGAACTCTGATACCGGAATATTTTACGAAAATATCGTGAAGTGAATGCTTCAAAAAGTGTCTCACAAACGCATGGCCAAAACAACCGGGAGTTGTGTCGTTTTAAATCTATTGAAGAAAGACCTAATTTTGGTTTTAAGCTGCTCTCGTATGGGGCTAAAAATCTTCGGATTGAAACGGAAATCCACGTCTTCTATCGACGCAAATAGAAAAATTACCGTCAGAAACTTATTCTTGGAAGTATGTACAATAGAGAGCAGTTCCCGTCGAAAAACTCTACGTGCTTCGATTTTTCGAATGAATGCGACGAGAATCACCTTAATATTTGCTTCTGTATCCTTAGGTACTTTTTCCCGTGGACAGCCATGTATAGCAAAAATACCAACTCACATACGGTAACCAAGATTCATCTACAAATATAGCTTCCTCACAAAATCACAAGATCCTAGATGAAGAGCTTTGCGAGCCGTGTAGTTGCACAGGGCGTGAGATAGAAAGAGCTTCAAAGTGCCTTCAATTTTTGCGTATGCAACATGGACATCCATAAAGCACGAATATTTGTATCAAAGCGCCTTCATCAACGTCGCATCATTCCTCAATCAATGATGATATGCTCTGCGCCGAGAGTTTACTTTGTTTTGTTTTTTTTCGTTTTTTGTTTTTTTGTTCCGTGCTCCTGGTAGCACGAACTCGGGTAATAGTGTAGGCTATCAGGAAATGTTTTAGAATTTCGTGAATTTAAAGTATAGACATTTTTACGAGAGAAAAAGAAAATAAATCTGTGCTGGACCTCTAATGGTTAAAGTTTCTTTTTCTATTTTCCTACTTTGGTTTTTAAACGAAATGTTCGCTTCCTATAACTGCAAATCTACAGAAAAAATTGAAACTGTACAATGTCGGGAAAATTATCAACATCCCAAGGCTTCAAAACTCTACCCCATTACATTATAAAAACTAAAATGACATTTTGCGTAACATTTTTTGAGTATTTTTCATTATTTCTCAATTTCTCTCACAACTTTTCGGGGAGTTTTTTTTACTATACCATGTAGGCCTCCGTGAACGAAATTTCATGATGTCGAAGGACAGGTTTCTTCTATAGAAGTTGGAGTCTGGAATTCTCGAGGATAAGCGACCAAAAAGAAAACCCATCATGGACATAATAAGAGAATGACTGTATTTTCTGAACGAGTATGATTATTTCCTGTTTTTTTTTAATTAAAAAAGGTTGGCAGTTGCTTTATCAGGGTCCTTTTGAAAATTTCAAATTACCCCTTCTCTTACCCTCCATGTATTCTTCACCCAATGAGCAAAATAAAATCTTACATTATTGAGGCTCTACTTACTAAAAATACGTCGGAGGCATTTGTAAGAAAAATTGAACTATTTGTGGTTTTGGGCGCAAGATAAAGAAACTCGTTTTCAGGACAAATTCACTGAAAAAAATCCACATTTTTTTTTTATTAAATTTTCAGTTTTAACACGCCATGCATTAGTATAAATTCCATGCGAGCCGTGGGATTCTAAATTATTTTTAGACTGAAAGTGCCGTTTTTCTCGATGTCTGCATCTTCAATTTACAGAAGGCCTCAGTAGAGAGAAGTCGTGTATGTCCCCACTTGCAAAAACTTAGAGAGGGGGAAAAAGTAGCCGCCCTCCCCCCTCCTCTCTCCGTTCGACAGAGCTTAGCGCAAGAATCAGCAACTATTTGTAGAATGGTTTTGAGGTCGAATGAAGAATCCTCCGGAGAATTTTCGAGAAATTGATTCAGACAGTTGGTAACACTAGTTGAGTAAAGAACGAGCCCTTTCTTTCTCTCAAAGGAAGCTCATGAATTTTATTATCCGTGATGGTAGCCAATTTCCTCTCATTACCTCTCTAATTTTCACTCGGCAGTCCTCTCACGACTCCGTTTCTGTGTTGGCTGAATTAAGTTTTCAAGTAACTTTGACTGTTTTCTCTTTGATCTCATTCTCGGTCGGACAAGCAATTTAAAGGAGACCTACCTCCAGCTCGATCGACTTTTATTTCAACCCTATCGTTGCTTTAATTACCTATTCTATATTTTTTCTATATTGCAGAGGAGAAAAGTGTCCCTTCCCTTAATTTAAAAAGTCAAAATGGTGCATTAAAAAAGTTGCATTTTTCAAAACTTTGAGCGGCAACTGTTTTGAAGTCGACACTTACGAAGACTTACAATTGGACGTATTTCTATCAAATCGAACTATTTGCATTAAGACATGAGCCCAGAGACCCATAAGCTTGTGTGCATAACAGGGCTCACGTCATAATGCGCATAGTTCAGTTTGGCAGAAATACGTCCAATTTGTCCCCAGTTAGCTTTTTTCTTGTGCTTTTAGCCATCAATCACAATAAAAAGTTCACCATTGGATACTATCGATATTTCTGGAGGGTATTTCCCTTTTGAAAACTCTTGTGGGGATTAAGAGTCGTAATCTCCCAAAATGAAATTCCCTCTTAACATGATAAATAACACATTCCAAACCGGACCTATCGACTTGAAAATTAAAAGAGTTACGACTTCGGTCGAGCATTTTTTTCCACTTTGGTATTTTTAACTGCATTGACACGAGTAATTTTTTTTCAAGGATGTGGTCGAAGCACCTCCAGGTGCTACAATAGATAAAGTGTTGTCTCTCTTACTTACGTATAAACCTTACCTGCGGAGACATTTGAAGCGGTGGGACTCGGTGCTGAAATCTGTAGACATTGTGCCAGCAAAGGCACTCAGCTATAAAATCACTATCGTTCCAGGCTGTCCTTAATTCATCCTTCTCACAGATGATGTTTGGTTTGTTCCCAATTATCTGCAATCAGATAAAAAGAAATCTACATTGCAATGATGGCTTAACACCTCTTTTTCTAGGAGCCCGGAGCCCTACATCCAACTGAGAAGTCACTCATTTTCCGCAGGTGATTTTGTATGAGGTACACCTTCGGGGTGCGGATATTGCCGGTTTCTTTTTTCCTGTGTCTAGCGCTAAGGAATTGCTTAATTGGCAATTTTGGCGAAAATGAATTGGACTACATTTTGGAATTTGGACCTATAGATTCTAGCCCGGTTTAAAAACAACGCATGTGCCATTAGTTTCCCTAAGCACATAAGTGTTTTTCCAGAAGAGCCAGAATTTATAGTTCAAAATTGCAAAATGCAGTCCAATTAGAGACTTTGCCGTATTCTACAGTATAAAATACGCAAGATGTTACTAGTTGTTTCTAATTCCGCATGGGAGCGCTGTAATGACGCTGAAACGTATGAAAAAATTGCAATAATCTTAAAAGTATAAGCATGATGAAGTTATTACTTCTCATACACAGTAAGTTGGAAATGTTGCCGACGTGCGTCAAAATCCAGAAAACTGGACATCTCAATGCCGAGGGAAGAAGCTCATTGGAGCACTAATAACTTAGTTTCTAAAGTATGATGACAGAATTTGAAAAAGACTTATCTTTGGTCGCGACGTTGCAAGCATCTTCGCTCACGTCTTATTTTCATGAGAAAGAACAATTTTGGATTTTTTTTTTCAAAGTAATTATCTGTATAACTGTTTTTTATTCAATCAAAAATATTCTTAGAAACTTTTATGGAGATTAGATAATATAACAAGTCAGTGTGATCGCTCGATTAATGTGGGCTGCGTCGACACAGAACATGAATTAAGAACTAAACCTTACTCATCATCAGCTGTTTTTTGTTTACTGTTGTTGACGCAACTCGGACGTTTTATTTAATTCGAGAAATTTCGGTGTGTTTCCTTCTAAAGTCATGATGTTAGATAATTTGTGAAGCAATCATGGGAGTCAAGAAAAACTTCATGTTTATTGTTGTTGATACGACTCCGACGTTTTGTTTTATTTGAGTGATTTAATTCAATGTTTCTCCTTTTAAAGTCACGTGATTTGCGAAATAATCATAAGGCGAAGTCATAAGAACAAAACAAATACAAAATTCTGGCTTCTCTTTATAAAAATATGTAAATGTAGAGGAGAAAATTAGTTGGGTTCATGTAATGTTTTATCATGTGTAATGACAAGAATTCCAACTTTTATTAAAGTTGAAAACCGCTGACACGGCAAGAATCGCATCAAACACAGTGCGGCCGGCGCGAGGCTGGCGGCAGTGGCGGCTGGCGCGCACGGCTCGAAACGCACAGCGCCTTACAAGACCGCAGGATACTTCATGCATTACGCGTACAGCACGGTGCGCGCGACGCGTAGTTCAGCGCCTTACAAGTCTGCAGAATACTTCATGCATTGCGCGTGTGCCACGGTGCGTCGCGCCGTGCGCGTTCAAATTGTTGTAAAAGGCGTATTGTCTTGGTGTCGCACGGTGTACTATTTCCGATTAGTGCACACCGCGAGCTTGCACTCCTAGGATCACCGGATTGTAAAGATTTTGCGATCCTGTATTTCTTCCGGTGAAAATATAATTTACGAGTGGACATTTTTCAGGTTGAAATGCTGTTAAGTTCTATCGTCTGGAGAACGCTGAACTAACTTAACCTCCAGGATGGGAAGTGGAAATTTTTTAACACAAATGTGGCAAAATTTCCGGGGAGTTATTCTCGGCATCACATTCACACAAGAATAAGCTCTAGCAATCTAACGTAACTTCGGTAATTTTTGCAAAATGACCTAAGTACGCCTACGGCTAATCTCAAAAAAATTATGGGGGGGGGCGGAGGGAGTCCACCGCGGCCGGCACTGCGATGGGCTGGTCTGTTGCTGATTTCCTAGGCCGCTACGTGGAGCCAGTCCGCTTCTGGGAGCACAATTTTCCCTCAAGAAAATACGCTGTTTGGTGCAACACTAATTGCATCGGCGCGACGTATGCAAAAACGTCCGATGTATATTACAGTGTTTCAGAATTTGAGTGGACAATTTCGTTGTAACTTAAAGACACAAGATGGTTCGAGACGTTAGGAATGTGGAACAATTTTATAAATGATCTCCTAAGTATATTAAACGTTTACAAAAGAGATTTATCTTATTCACTAGTGTCGTGGGGCAAAAGAAACCACTACAGTTATGAAACCCTGTATTGGACAACGGACGTTTTCGCATGAGCCGATTCAATTACGACCATTCAGGAGGACAACTGCAGAGGCGTTTCGGGTCTAATTGGAGTTGGATCCATCATTAGTGCAGCGCAGCCTCCTGAATTTTCTGCCACCAAACTCGAGGAGGCTGTCTGAGTGCTTCGTCCTGTAAAATCGTTAGTTTGTAGATACGCGGTTTTGTTCCATAGCCATCTGCGTGCTTTCGGATCGCCTTGTGCCGTGCTAAGGAAAAACGCCGTATAAACTTTCGGGCGTTGCCAAATTCCCTTGGATAAAACACGAATTTTCTGGTAAAATTATGAATATTTTTCTTCGAATTTTTCAGATAATTTTTCTCGCAATTTCACCTAAAGTTCCTGAAAATTACATGGAAAAATATTCATAGCTTTCCTCAAAAATAAACATTCAACCGAAGGAAATTTGGCAACTCTCGAATGTTCATACGGCGTTCTTCCTTTAGCGCCTGTCACGTCCCTCCAATCTTGCACTTGTATTAAGCATGCACAATCTGCTTGACGTAATTTTTGGTGGATGGGTGA